TCATGATGAAATCAAGTGCCCAAAAACTGATACATTTTACTTCGTTTTGAATGATGGTGGAATGTGTGGAGAAGCTCATCAAAATACTGTAATTATGGCAGAGTCGATAATTTTTCAAATATCCGTTAATATTTAGCTCCAAACAGGAAATATCTAGCTTTGTTTTCTCTATGAGTAATCATTCTTTCATGATTGTTTTCCTGATGAAAATTTCTTGTTCGCCATAATAGTAAAAATTGCAAAAAGAAATCAGAAGCAGGTTGAATTTTCGACATTTTGAGTGTGAAACTTCATTTAAATTATGGCCACCATGTGCTTCTAGCCCACTCTAAAAACAATTTGTATTTTATTAACCTAAGTCAACTAATTATTCCAACGGGTTAGAAAAATGTCTCATTCCGTAAATATTTTTTTATTTATCCATAGAACATCAGTTGAGTCCGCAGCTTGCCTCTAATAAAGAATCATTTTGATTTGAGAACCCCGTTTTTTTAGTTGATCGTTTTAACTTATGAATAAAATTCACTACCAGACCATCTTTCGATATACAGTACCGGTATTCTGATAATTTGGCTGTTGTTGGATAAAGGCGTGGCGCAGTAATCAGGAAATGAGCAGGAAGCGGAAGAGCGCGCAAAAACAGGGGAAGAAAAAAGAGAATGTGTAAAAGTGTGTGTAGATAAATAAAGTTTTGCACGATGAACAAATTCACCAGATGAGAAGATTCAAAATGTGGAAAAACATGAGCAGTGCCAGTAAAGAAACGTCGCAATTACTTCTGTAAAAGTGTTCCACAGTAGATTTGCTTGAACTTTTCTCTGGTTGCTTTTTTTTTGAAAATGTAAGCAAATTATTTCCCTGCCAACTTCTTTCTGCCAAGCGTTGCATCAGATTGATTCCTTACCCTGAAAATAGAATAGTCAACCCCGATTTAGTGCCACTGTTCGTCCTGGGACATTTTGTGGCACTAAATCGAAGGTATTGTTTGAGAGAGAGGTCCATTTCAGGGTTCCCATGATGGCAAAAAATAAGCTTTGTAGAATTTTTAGGTTCGTGATGCTGTTTTATAAGAGAAATAGTCAAAATGTATCATTTGAAGCCCAAAGGTACTTTTTAAAATTTTATTTGAAAATCTGTATCAAGGCAGAATGTATTAGATTTTTAAGCATATGACATCTAGTATAAGATCACAGCTGTTTCTCAAGATTGTGTGTCCATTTGAGTTAGTTTTATGTAAGATGCCATCATGAAGGAATCACCAATGTTTCCACAAAAGCTTCCACTTTTTTTAATCTTTTCAATGAAGGAGGGTATCATGTAACACAAAATATTTTTCAATAATGTAAATTTAAAAAATAGATTTTCCACATTTATCCTGAGTTTTCTGTCAAGCATGGGGATGTGATTCTCAGTCAAAAGTCTTATAATCCAATACTGGTGAACCTTGAAACTCAAACATCCCTAAGTCAAAAACCCCCCTAAGTTGAATTTTTTCATGTCTTGTCTGAATCCCCTTAGAAATAATGCATTTAAAACCTCCCCAGGTCAAAGGCTTTTTCCTCAAACCTCCATAAGTCGAATTTTCTGTGGCCTGTTGGCTTTTATTTTTGCGACACAGGAAAGAAAAAATGCAATAAAACATAAATTGATTTGTTTTAAAATGAGGTGAGAGACTTAATTGGGCAAATGAACCCTGCCTCCAAGTTCAGGACGCTTTCAACTCATTTGAGGAGTAATTTCAGCCTCAGAAGATTGCAATTTACAATTTTGAGCAATTTTTATATGTTTCCCAACACAAGAGGGTTTTTTATTGTAGATAAATTCAAAGCCTCCCTGAGTCGAATTTTTTTGCTGGTCCCTTGAAGTTTAACTTAGCGAGGTTCAACTGTATAATCATAATCCTTGGGAAATGCCCAAGTTTACCTCAATCTCTGCCCATTTTTTTAAACACAACAAATATTTCTTGTAGCTCTACGTGAGTTGGCGCTAAAATTGGGGTTTTCCTTGAGAACATAATAATGGGGGATTTGTACCAGGGAAATTTGTGGCACTATCCAAGGGTGGCACTAATTCGAGGGTTGACCGTAATTATGCCACGTCGTCCTGCCCATGTGAACCCGACACAGCTTTGCCTTTTTCCCCCTGCCTGCGGGAAGGAATGTGGAATACATTTTATTTTATTTTTTATCGGGCATGTTGAGAATGAACAACCCCGAATGAGAGAAGAGTTGGGGGGGAGCGTTGATCCGTGTGACTTTTGTTACATAAGCATGAGCCCGAGGTTAACGTTGAGATGTCCGATTCACCGATTTCCTTTTTCCTTGTTTGTGACACGCACATCCACAAGTATCCTAACAAACCAGCGACTAATTTTTTCTGGCGACTTATTGCGAGGCATTCGCGAGGTTGTCGGTAATTTGATTCACTCCCCCGATTTTGACGAAACTCGCTGCGATCAATTATGTTTTATCTACGGCTTGACGGAAGTCGGAAGCCATTTCGTGTGGACGTGGAGTTTCGTTACGTAACGCATCTGCTTGATGAAGCATCGACGGGATTTTTTTTTATCAAGCTTGGACTCCTTTTTTTCTGATCGAAATTTTTTTTTAGACAAAATGGAAGCAAAAAACAGCGGGGTCCCGACGTGTACACGATTCGACTTCGGGACGTTGAAACTTGAAAAATTGTGCCTCGAGTTTAGGACGCTTTTGCCGAAATTTATACGGAAATTGGAGAAGTTGCATTTCTCACGATGTTGATTTCTCGAATAAATTGAGCTATTTTTACTCACGAAAATAAGTCAATAAATTTATTATAATTGATAATCTAAAATGGGATACATTTTTTGCTTGTTTCTCTTTTCGAGGATTATCTGTGCACAATAGAGCAATAAATCTGGTAATTCTTTGCCTTTTTCGGCTCTTTTTTTTTATCCCAGGAAAGGCAGATTCTGCGTGGTTTTCTTTTGCGCAGTTATTATATGTATATTCAAGTTCAGAAAAAAATTTGATTCATATTTTTATCTTACTTTTCCAAAATGTTTACCAACGCAAGAACCAATCGAATTTTTTCGCTTCGAAGTCCATGGAAAAATCGTGATCCAACGTGCGGAAGGACAAGGTTCAATAACGAAATTATGTCCGCATCTCGGGGCCCCCAACTTATTTCGGGCTAATTTCATGCAGCTAAATGTTCAATCGGGGTAATTTCTTACCCTGAACCAGGAATCAGCACTTCTTGTCTTTTGGCTTGTGCTAATTTGGAGCAGAGAAGAAGAATCAAATTCCAATTGTAAGTCATTCAAATCTCGTTATTCTTTCTAAATTGATAAAATGCACGTCAATTGAAGGAAATTGTGGTTTAATGTACATGAAGTCTACCTTATTACATTGATTCTGAATTCTCTGCTCGAGAATATTATCGCGCTTTCCTCGATCGAAATCATTCACAATGAATTTCAAGTTTTCAATAGAGATGATTTAGTCTCACTTACCCATGAAATCGGATTAAAATGTGAAGAGTGAAGCACCTTCCAGCTAAAGAACACTGCTGAGATTTCTCGGTATAAATTCCAGAAGGAAACGCACGCAGAAACAATCCCTGTGTGTGCTTACGTAAGACGGAATACGTGCCTTTTCGTACTTGGATTTTTTCAAGGACTTGTATCCTTGGGAACGAATAATATGCAGTACTGTGTTTTTGTTTTCCTTTGGCAAATTAGTACCACCTTATTTTTTCATGGAGTGTCTCAGTCTTCACAAAGGTACATAATTGGAAAGACGAACATGCAGTAATCGGACTCAAACAAATGTTGGGTTCCCTTCAATTCCCCATTTTTTATTCCTTTTATAAAACTTTCGTGCACTTAATTTTTTTTTAAGCAGAATATTGAAAATATGTAAGACGTTTTTAATCAGCCAAAGGTCAGAAGTACTGTAATAGGGAAAAAAGTAGTAAAACTAGGAGTATTTATTTACTTTTCCTCCAGTTCGAAATCGTAAAACTCTAGTGACCTTCAGTTTTCTGGAACTTGAAAGCTGATGATTTGTCAATCCCATGTTGACATTGAACGACGACGTGCCTTCGATTTTTTTTTCCAGCATTCTGTGGTTGTCCCATGATAAAACAGAGAAGAAGAAATAAATCTTGGAATTGAAGTAAATTGCGAAAATTCATGTCCGACGAATAAAACTTGGGCTGTCTTGTCCGTAACTTGAGGTGAACACCATTCAGACGCGATTTTTTCTTCTTTTTTCTCATTTGAAACGCGAAAACCCCGTGCTTTGGGAAAGCCTTCCTAAGGGGCTATTCCATGGAAGTACTGTGTGTATATATTTTTTTAAAACTTAGATTATTAAATTTGTAATCGAGTCCACAAAAAAAAGGGAATCTTTCACTGTCCAGATCACACATCTCTTGAAATACTCGGTCCAATTTCCCGGAGAAGCAAGTTGAGCTTTTTGACGTACGTGTGTTAAAATTTGCATGATTCCAGTTGAAGCTCTTTACGTCGAATTTCAAGGGACCCAGCGAAAAAATCGAGTTTGTCAAGAAAGTTTTTTTGTTGGGAGGAAGAAAGAAAGAATTACATTAAACTGTAATTTATGTTATTCAGGGCCTTAAATTGCTTTTTGAATGAGTTGACAGGAATTCCTTTCAAAACAGCATCAAGTTACATTTTTATTTCTTTTTTCTTTCCTGTGTCAATAAAATAATAGCCAAAGAGCCTCCAGGAAATTTCGAGTTATGGAGCTTTGAAAAGGGAATCGTGTTGAATGTTTTGCATCTACGGGAATTCCGACCGGGGTTTGAAAAAACGAAAAACATTGACACAAAGAGGTATTCGAACTTGCAGAAGTTCGAGTTATCGGAGTCCAATTGTGTTTGGTGACTCCATCGAAACACTGTACGATTTTTGTTGTTGTTTTAAATCCACACTATTGGAAGCAGGCGAGACGAGACTAGTCGGTTGAGCTTGGCGCGTGTGCTATTATTGTGCTATGTCGTTTGCCGTGGAAGTGGACGCGAGCAGCAGCAACAACAGTAGTGGTTCCGAGGATCTCGACGACCAGCAAGAGCAACAACCAACCGTCACGTCGACGCCCGTCGCAGAAAACGCCAGCCGTCACCCGGGCCACACAGCCGCCACCGCCGCTGGTACACACTCGTCCTCCTCTTCGTCGCCCATTGGTGAACTCGACCTTGACACCGACGAAGACGACGACGACGAAGAAGAACAAGGACATCGACAGGAAGAAGAAGAAGAAGAAGCAACAGGACAACGGGGTGACGAAGAGGAGGAGCAGAGAGACGATACGGAAAGCGCTGCGGATTTCAAAGAAGCAGCCGCTGCTGTCGCTGCTGCTGCTGCCACTGGAAACGACAGTGACACTAGTGACGAGGAAGAAGGAGGAAGAGGAGGAGGAGACGACAAGGAAAAGACAGGAGCTACATCTGGGGAAACGAGTGTAGAGGCGGAATCTCAAGAGCAGGAGCAGAAAGAAGAGGAACAAGAACAAGAGGACTTGAACGGAGAAGAAGAAGAAGAACGACACGAAGCCGAAGGAGCAGAAGACGTTGAACAATTCGACAGTTTGGACACTTTGTCATCTTCGGTGCCGTCATTTTATTTTGCGTCTCGATCCATTTCCGTGTTGTTATTTTTCTTATCCCGCGTTGAAATGTTTTCATTTGATTAATTTTTGTGCCAAAGAACTGAAATTTAAGTATTATTTTCCCTATTTTTTTGTCTTTAGATGGGAAGCAGTTCGCGGAGAGAGCATTTGTACAAGATCCTGGTGATTGGGGAGTTGGGCACGGGCAAAACGTCCATCATTCGAAGATATGTGCACCAGTTCTTTTCGCAGCACTACAGGGCCACTATCGGAGTGGACTTTGCCCTGAAGGTGCTGCACTGGGACCAGAATACCCTCATCCGGCTCCAGTTGTGGGACATTGCGGGTTGGTTTTTATTTTTAACTCAATCTTGTATCCCATAAATTTTGTACACGTGGACTCTCTGTGCAACGATTTTCTTTGTGGAGTACGATTACCAATTTTGTTTTGTCCTATGAGGGTTTACACCCCATGTTATAGGGGTTCTCCGCGACGAAATTCTCCGCACAACGTTTTATTTTTTTTCTGGTCCCTTGAATTTAGTTGTAGAGAGATTCCAAGTGTATTACGTAATATGCTGAGCGACTGGGATGCTGAGTACGTCCTGTCGGTTATTGATGACCTGATGCAGCAGAAAGAGGAGTGTTGAAGGTTTCCTTTTCTTTTCAAATTGTGAATTTGCAGAAGTTGAAAAGGATTTCATCATAATTGCTTTTAGAAATAATTTATGAAATCCCACGTGCTTCAGTTTTTGAGAATACCTTCTTTATTCGTTGGCGTTTTATTTGTCAGAACTTGAGGCATCTTTTTCAAAAGCTGCCGTTACCTTTTCATTCGCAATCTGTCTCGTGTTGGCATTTTTTGAGTAAAACAAGCGACTACCCGATTTATTCAAGTATCACGCCCACCTTTTTTTTTTTTTTTTTTTTTTTTTTTTTTTTNTAAATATGTCTTTTCTTCCCCTTTTTTTTTTTTTTTTTTTTTTTTTGGAAATTGAGGGGTTAGAGGTTGCACATTATAAATGTGTGGAAAATGTTCGAACATTTTCAAAGCTTTATTGCTCGTCTTGCGTGATTTCAACGAGGAATACGTTGGAACCCAGCCAATTTCAACAGACCATTCAAGAAATGGGAATGACGGAAAAGAAACATTCAATTCGACTACAGTTAAAAATCTGCTGTACAGTATTTTATTTTTGAAATATTACATTTTTAGTCTGGAATTTGCTTGCGCGCCTTACTCAATTACAGTACTCAAGTAAATGTGGTACAGTATTATGGTACCAATATATGATCATTGTTGGGCGGAAAAATATTTCTCGGAGATCCCATAAAATGTGCTTCCTTACTTGTATGCTGGCTGAGGTGATCGTATTAATTTTACCTTTTTTTATTTCGTTGTTATCACAGGTCAGGAGAGGTTCGGAAACATGACCCGGGTGTATTACAAGGAAGCCGTTGGCTGCTTCATAGTTTTCGACGTGTCTCGGGCGGCAACTTTCGAGGCTGTCATGAAGTGGAAAAATGACGTTGACTCGAAGCTTCAGCTGCCTGACGGGTCTCCCGTGCCTTGTGTTCTGCTGGCCAACAAGGTGCCTTCCCCCTTTTTTTGTCTCTTTATTTTTATTTTTTGATGATAAAGTTCTTTATTGCGAGTGCTTTTCAATAAGAAGTGTGAACGCGATTTCCTCTCGTGAATTTCTTTTTTTTTCGCAGAGAGAGAGAGAAATCTGTGTAGGTTGGCTTTACTTCGACATGTAAACCGGGGGAATGCGAATATTGCGAAATAGGAATCGAATACCTGCTTATTTCAAGGAGGATTTCTTAATTTGTAGATGTATTTCATTATATTGTTTTGATGTGTATTTTTGAAGCCTCCAAAAGTAAAAAAAAAAATAATAATAATAGCACACGCACAAAAGGAAAGGAGCCGCGGCGCTTTCGTGTTTTTTTTTCTATCGGACTGACTGGTTTTTTTTTTTTGACAGTGTGACCTGCAAAAAGAAGGATTGGTGAGCGATGGAGTGAAGATGGACGAGTTTTGTAAGGAGAAAGGGTTCATTGGATGGTTTGAAACATCGGCGAAGGAGAACATCGGGGTGGATGAAGCTGCACAGTTCCTTGTGTCCAAGGTACTGTACTACAGTATACCTAAAGTTCTTGGGGATCTCTTCCTTTTATCAACCTGTTTAACCACCTTTCGTTTCTTCTCTGCAATCCTTGACTTTCTATCCCTCGCGATTAAAATTTTTTTTTTCCTGTAGTAAGATTTTGACCATTTGTGAATGAAGAGGAATACAGTATTCAATCATCTTGTTGAGAGGTAATCAGACGAGAGCCCGTTGTGAAATCCACGCTTGGTGGCTCTTGATGGTTACATAACGAGAACCGGTTCTCTTTCTTTTTTTTACGGTGCTGATTTAAACTTGGATCAGGTTGATAAGCGAGGGTGATCTCATCTACGTACTGTGGAGGCTTACTTTAATGATGGACCGGTTTTTTCTTTTTTCTCCCCTCAAGTTTTAATTAGGATAAACCAAGCGGAAGAAGGATATATGGGTAAATCTCCCGGTCGGGTTCATTTGTTTCACGATAAAATGTGGGAGCTTGTAAAATTATCGTTTTATCTTGTTGCTCCTCAATTCTGAACGACGTTCTGGTTCGGTTAATTATTCAATCCTATTTTCTCGGGTTGAATAGTAATTTTTCGCCGGACCTACGAGCGGGTATAATTTGAAGGCACCTTCTGAGGAATGAACCGTTCTGCTCTCGCAACTTATCTTCCATTTATATCTGTACAATCTTTTGATGCGTTAAATGTTTCCTAAAACGCGCATTCGCAGTAAAAATACAGTACGAGTTTATAGAGAATTATTAAAATTGAGAATTGCAGATTTGAAGGATATTTGATCAGTTCTAAGTACCATATTATTTTTAAAAAAAATGAATCTAACAATCTCGATGCCTTTCTGATTCAGATGGATTCAAATCAAAATTTGAGCAATAATTGTTGTTTTTCTCGAAAATGTCCAACATTTATCTCAGAAACTTCAAGGAGATGTATTATGTAGCTTAAATTATCCGATATACCGAGAATATGGTCTCGAGCTCTTTTATTTCTCAAATGCGCAGTTTGTGTTCACATTTTTAGCCTTGTCCAAATTTGGCCAAAGGGAAGCAAAAACAAATTTAAAGCTTACTGAAGAGGAATGGATTTCTTGAAAGGTAGATGTCATGTAATCGATGTTGAGATTTTAAAAAGTTTATTCTAACTTTTCATGACTTCTTTTTAGAATCGCGAGAATGGTGATGTCCCTATTCCCGTTGATAAGCATTTTCGTGACATGAGATTTACCTAGACGCCTGAACGAATCAATTGAGAGTCTCGAGCGAAAATCCAGATGCCGTCGTGGATTGCGAGTGACATCTACACGTATTGATCTACTTGACCAGCTTTTGATAGATACATTTTTCTACGCATAGATGTCGATTTGGGAATCATCTCCCTGCCCGTCGTTGTGCTTATATTTTATTTTGCTCTAGCGATCCGTGTACTGAACTGTAGTTGAAAAAGATTGCTGCAAGTTCCTATCAGTTTAATTACCTCTTGTACATTACTTGGAGTTCGAAGCTATAATGAGTGTGAAAATTTTTTTTTACAGATTTTAGCAAATGACATTTGGAGCAACCTGGAGCCGGATTCGCCGGACCGAATAGCGCTAGAGCCGTCTGCATCTGGCAACAAAGCGCCTAGCAAGTGCAGCTGCTGAAGAAGTAATAAACAGAAAGAAAAACAACAAAACCGAGCAAGGGTTTTTTTTCCGAAGGCTTCCAACACACAAGAACTTGAGTCTTAACCGGTTGTGCAGACTAGAACATATGCTGCTGCTGCTGCTGCTCCTTGTCTAACTCCATCCATCCATTCCTGGGGTCCTGTGTTTTCTTCCACTTTGTGCTACTGCCAATTTGCAATATTTTTTTCGGTCACGAATATTGTCTGCCTTGATTATTTCTTCGAATCTTTATTTTTCATATTGGGTTACTTTGTGTGTGTGTGTGTGTGAGAGAGAGAAATGGTGGATACAATGCCGAGGCATTCGCAGATTGGTTCGTTCCCTCCCCCTTAGCTGCTGTGTTCTCCGCTCCCTGGTCGTCGTGAGTCACGCAAGAAACATTCCCCTCGCGTCCGTGAATTTTTTTTTTTTTTTATCAAATAAGGTGCCAAGAAATTCGTGTCAACTTTTGGAACGTCCAAGTGCCTATGATGATTTTTAAGCTTCCTGTTATAGTCTGTGACTCGAAATTATTTTGAGCTGGCGACGACGACGCATTTACCTCTCGGAAGAATGCTACGGTGGGGAGAAATAAAGAGGAATTTTTTTCATGGTCGCTATAGTGATGTAGAAATTATGTAGTGAATGATACCTAGCCGGAATTATGTGAAATTTGCTTACCGACAGGACGTTAGTTGATGTCGGTATAGATTGCACGTAATCGGAATGAGTTCCAGGAGGCAATACGTGAAGCCTGCATGTATGCCTGTGAGGAGGAAAATTTTCCATTTATCCACTGTACAAGTAAGTGGATGCACCAGGGGTTTTTAGTCTAGAAGTTCGAAAAAATTGCATCCCCAAGTGAGACGCACACCCCATTTCTGTAGTGGCTCTAAAACTGATATTTTAAAGATGAGAAACCCCAAATTTAATTTACACATTAATTTAACCAAAATTTGCTGATTTTCAATTGTATCAACAAGAATATGTTTTTACGTTGTACTTGGTCCAAAATTCCCCCTTAAAGTCAAGGAGAAAGCAGCACATGAACTTTTATAACTAATTACCACCTATGATGTACACCCCTTTTTCAAATAAAAAAAAGGTGTGCATGGTATTCAATTAAATAATACAATGTGGTACATAATGACCAGGTACCATATTTATGTGAAGAATTATTTTTTATATTGCAGGAGGAAGGAGTTAATATAAATTTTGTGCATTCTTTTAGAGCAACGAAAGGAAAATGTCAGCCCTTCTATCCAAAGCTTCATATACAGTACAGTATTCAGCAGTGCCTCTAAATGCAATTTTCAATTTTGCTCTTATATTCGGATTTTAAAGCCTTCGATGTCTTTATACAATTTTAATGAGCACCACATATCCCAGAAGACAGTGAAAATAAGGCATTCAGAAAATTCCAAGGTGTAGGGTAATGGGTGAGCAGCGATTTTACTAAAAATGAATAATTTGGGACTCATAACAATATACTGTACGTGTAATGGTGTCGCAGAGGGCAATGTCCTTCCCTGCTGCACTTGAACTGGGATAGCTCCACAGGTTCTTTCCCCTTGTTTGTGAATCACATCCATATGTGAGGGTATTGCTTTTGTTGGTTTTCTGCAGTTATTTGGCCATGCTCCTTATTTTTCTCGAAGACGACAGCTGGGCTCATCCCCCTTTCGTTTAATTGCACTTCGCCTGTTCCAGTCAATTGAGTCCCCCCAGTTGTTTTTCCTTCAACGGACTACACCTGTTTCTCATGTTGTCAATGCCTTCCCGAACAGCCTGGTAAGTTACATCGGAAAAACATCCTCCCCTTCATCCAATTGAGCAGAAAGAAAACGAGGTATTTCTTGAGTTATGGTTCCTTTTCAGAGTGGAACAACAAATGGGGTGAGCCAGTTCCTCTTGAGAATCCATACAGGATGCAGGGAAAATAACTTGAAAGTTTGGGTTGTCTCGAAGGAAGTTGCAGAAAATCCTATATTTTGGTCGGAGATACTGTGTACTGTGCGGTATCATTATTTCCTAAATAGATTTACGAATAGCCTATAGTAATTAGCATTTAGTACAAAGCAGTGAGTGTGATGTGCAAGCCTGCTGTGTCTTCATAGCGATGCGTCCTCAACTAATCATTTGCCGAGGTCGTTTTCTTTCACCGAACGCCTGCTATTATGCAAAATTATTTTTGCCCGGAAACATAAGGAGTGAAAAATCTGTCTGTCGTCTTTCAAATTAGAATTAATCCAGAATGGGACGTTGTGATCTAGTGACACAAGCTACAAAAGATGGAATTTCATTTGAGTGAATCATGCTTTTAAATTCTTGACGTAAATTTGCTGTGATGTTCTGTTCGGATGAATTGCTCTTTGATAAATGACTTGGTAACTATTGTGTGGTTTGGTTCTCATGTGTTATGACACGCAGCCCTGATTCGCGGGGAACCCAAATTTCGTGGAAAATAGGTGCATGGGTCCAGGTATAGTGTTTTTAAATCTTGTAGTGTATCGCGCTTATTTAACGTATTTGGTCTCCTGCAAGAAATTTTGTGAAATGAGTGATGTCATTATTCTACCAAGTCAATTACGAAGCCAATTGGTCGATTAAAGTAATAGCAAATTGATGTTGGTTTTTTTTTTTACGCAGACCATGCGGTGAACTGCGTTCTACGAATTTTTTGGTGGTCATGGAAGAAACGTTTGACAGTCAGAAGACGATTGGTTCGCAAGACTTATCTCAGTTGGCGGAACTCCAGCAAATCCCGGAACCCAAGCGTTGGGGTTTCCTTCGTCCTCTTGAACCTTTAACGTGTCACCCGGTCGATCTTACTCTCGACAAGCATTGCATTGGACGACAGGATGGGTCCATCCAAGAATATGGATACCGTGGCATTTCGCGCTTCGAAGTGTCGAGTGATCCTGATCCTTCATGTCGTTGGCAAGGCATCAGCCGACGGCATTGTTACATCGAACGAGTGGATGACATCGTGTATTTAAAGCCTCACGTGCGACAGCCACACTTGAAGGTTACTAAATGTTTCGTGAACGGAGAACTAGTGCAGGAGCAGTGCGTGTTGAGGAATGGGGCAGAGATCTCCTTCGGTACTTCAACGCTGAAGAGTAAGACGAAAAGGTTCTCTATTCGATAGTTTCTAACCATTCACTCTTGTTTCAGTGTTCGTGTATTTTCGTTTTGGCGGAGATTTTGATTTGGAACTCCCGGAATCCCTGCGGTCCGATTACGTAGTCAGCAAATTGATGGGAGAAGGAACTTTTGGAAAAGTTTACCTTGCTGTGCATATTCGAGATGCGAAGGATCGACGCGCGCTCAAGGTTCTACGAAAAACACCTTCAACAAACGTCGACACTCTATTGCAAGCTAAAAATGAGATTGCACTTCTGAAGGAAATTTCACACGTCAGTAGTTACATGTGTGTTCTTATCACTTCTCGGACGTTTGAATTCGTTCTCTCCTCACTTTCAGCCGTTCATCGTTGAGTTGTTGGACATTTCATTCAGCGAGAGAGATTGGTTTCTGAGCATGGAGTTGATGGAAGGTGGAGAACTCTTTGATCGGATACAAAATCCGAAGAAGTTTGGCTTATATGACGAGAATGTCTCAAGATTCTTATTCTTTCAAGTTGCCGACGCTGTGAGGTACCTGCACAGCAAAAAAATTGTGCATAGAGATCTGAAGGTATGTTAAAACTTGTGGATATTTCATTATATAGACTGTTGCGCTGATGTTATTTTTAATCTTTGCAGCCAGAAAACATTCTCTTGAAGGACAAAGCCATATTAACGATTGTTAAAGTTGCTGACTTTGGCCTTAGCTATCTCCCCCGTGGTGAAAGCATCCTTATGAAATCAATGTGTGGTACAACGGGTTACATGGCCCCGGAGATTGCCATCCAAGATATCCGGAAGGTGCAGTTGTCGTACACGAACAAAGTTGATGTTTGGTCTCTTGGAGTCATTTTATTCACGATGTGAGTAGTTGAACAACGAACTTCGTCTGTAATCAGATTCGTGATTTTCTCGTTCATTTTAGGAATTTTTTCTACAATCCCTTCAATGATGATACTACCGGAGATGTTAGTTTGAATGCAGTAATGGAAGGGAGAATCATTCAGTATTCGACGTTTAAGTCTCGCAGTTGCAAGATGCTCAAGCGAATGATCAACTCGATGCTTCAGCCCGTACCTGAGACCCGATTTTCTATTGAGGAAGTGTTCAACGATCCTTGGATGAATGTGAGCCATATTGATTCAACCTGCATGAATTTTCTAAGTTGAGAAAATGTCATCGAGAAATGTATGTTGATATCAGCTAGAATATGGACGTCATTATACTAATACTTCTTCGTTGAATCCCCGAAACTTTGGCCATTCAGTGACATACGTTAATTAATTACTGTTTACAATGTTGTTTCGTCTGGTTTTGTCATGGTGGTTATTTTGATGATTCTTTTACCGTTCTCATTATTGCTATAAAAAAGCCACAAGATCTAAATAGTGTTATTAGGTTAATCCTCTTCACTTTCTGAATTTCGGGATTTTATTTATTCATGAATCATTTCAATTGTTGGAATATAATTTCGCGAAGAGTTGAAATGAGCTGCAGTAAAGTTTGCTTTCTTTTCTATCGAAGAGCATAGCGAATATTCGAGAGTTTTATTAATCAGAGATTTTATTTTAGGCGGATGCTACGCTTCAAGATCGATTGAAACGTTTGCTCACGAGCAACGATCGTGTTGTGCTGAGTGATTGCTCCAATAACAATGATGCGGGTGAAGCTGCCGCCAGGAAACGGGTTATTCCAGACACCAGGATGGACCTGACCTCTCCCACCAGGAAACGGGTTATTCCAGACACCAGGATGGACCTGACCTCTCCCACCAAGCGCTTTTGCCTTAGTTACCCAGGGTCCAACAGCAGCTTGTGAATTTCGAAGCATTCGGTGAAATTAGTGATCTCTTCTTTCTGTCCAAGGGTGACCTTTGTATTTATTTATTTTTTCCCTTCGTAATTCCTGAGTTGTTGCCAAGAACGAGCTTCAAATCCTCTTCTGAAAGGTTGAGCACAATTTGTTTCTGGTCTAGTAATAGTCGAAGTTTTGCACGTCATGGCGGCAACGAACCATTAGATCCGTGATGAGATCAAGTGAGATCTGGCCTTGGGAGATCAAGTGCAAATATTTTTTATTCTGCGTGGCAATTTTTTTTTTTTTTCGCGGAAAATGTGCAAGTTCCTGCCAGAGTTGCGTGGTAAGCATCTCAAGGAGGCTGTGAACAGGAGGGTTTGTGCCTTGAAAAATCTTTGGCCAATCTAAGGGAAAAATTTGTTGCCATGGCCTTGTGTGCTTCGTGTTGTTGAATGTCTTTAGTCGGTGCGAATGGTATTCTTGATCGTTTTTAATTTTCGTTACTGGCTATTCGAAATTTTTTGAAAGTTTTTACAGGACTGAAGTGTGCGGGTTTTGGAATGATCTCTTGTGATCTTCATGCGTTCGTCATGAATGGAACGATATTTTGTTTAGGTTTTTCAAATTTCCATGTTTTTCGCCTTCTTTGTGCCCCGCGGTTGAACGTATCAGTGAAGTAACGGAAACTGTGTTTCTTGAAAGTCCTGCGAATTGTTGGCAAATTTTCATACGATGAAGCTTGGTAGTCAATATTCCTCAAGATTTTGTTATTCATAGAAAAAAATTTCCTTCGATGACAAGAAAATAAAAATAAAATGTCGAACGTACTGTATTTAAGGAACATCTGTTGATCTAAGTAGAGCGTCAAGAATTAATTTTTAGTTCGAAAAATTCAATTTAGTGTAGATTTTTTCCAGGAACTTGCAATCATTTCTAAGCAGTGATATACATCAAGACCGCATAGCAACAGGTAAGATTTTTTCTTGGTTTTATGAATTTCAGACCGTTTAAAAAGTCATGGGAAAATTAATTATTGCACTTTTCCTGATGAGGATCAGCGTGGCGTACCGAGTTGATTTATAAAATACAGTGACTTGTTTTTTGTTTTATTTAATTAGGTAGAATATTTTGAAGTTTTGGCAGATTTGAATCAATGAAGGTTTGTGGGCATTCCACGGGGCTTTTGAGAAACCCTAAATTTGCAAAAGCTATCATGAGCTTTTGTTTTCACCCCTCTATTTCAAACTGTGTAGACATATAGTACAATCAGCTCTTCATTTCTTCAGCGAGGAAATTTTTTGGTGATAATTTCCTTGGAAAAAATAATCTTCCAGATGAAATTGTCTATAGTTTGATTAATCGATTCGAAAGATGCAAGTCCATTCAAGGACGAACCCGCTTTTCCGGAATCTTACGGGAAAGATTTTGTGCAAAAATTCTCTTGTGAAGAGCGTTTAAAATGTTGAGCTTCCGAACCTTTTTTGTTGCATGATATAAGGTCTGATTTTGCGATGTGGTAATTTTTTTATGTTTCTTCAGCGGTTGAGCACAATTTTGTACGCTTTCATAATAAAAACGTTGATGTGGGTCGATGTCCTACGTTATTTCTTTTATCGTATTCGTCGACGATTTCTAGTGAGAAAAAGCTTTGGAAAACAATGATATCTCTCCGAAACAAGTTTTGGCAATTCGTGCTGAGTTGCTGAATCCGTGTCAACTCCATCAGTAAGGCAAGGTATATGTTGTATAGTAAGGTTATGCTGTGGGCCGCATGCCGCCGATTGGATGAACTGTTCAAAGAATTTGTGAAATTAACTTTTGGGGTTTTATTTTGTACCAACACTGTTCTAAACTTTTTTAGCTGTAAGAATATAGCACCGGAAAAAATAATTTTGTGAGTTCTATGAAGAAACTTCGTCCTGGTTTCCATTTTAACGAAAAACTTGTGATTTTGTTCGTAGCTACATGTTGTTCTTCACATCAAATTGTAACCCAGGAAATCTATCCGAATAATAATGGGTGCGTACGCAATAATAATGAATTTCGATATTTTCTCTGATGGGCAAGAATTATCTGACAATGATGATACTGTATATATACACTGAAGAGGAACTATATGTTATTGCGCCCATGAAAGTTGACCATTACCTCCCATTTCAAAAGTAATCCTTTGTGGGCCAGAAGAAATATAATCAAGCAACAAATTTACAAATAACATCAAGTACAGTATCGCAAAGATGAATCCTGTGTCTTACATTGTGATTATGCGCGAGGATATTTATATGTAATTTTTTGTGGCTGAAACTCATATACAGTACTGTGATCTTATCAGATAATTTATACTTGATATTTTGGAAGCTGTATAATGCAGCCTTCCAACTTCGAAAAAAGTCTGGTTAGTTTAATTGTTCTACAGCAGTACCAAAATCGCAGACAATTAGAAGAAAATTAATTTGAGTAAATCGCTCAATCCCATGGGGAATTATGAAAAGTTCACCTAGATGGTAAATTAATTCCTCGATCAACGGCATATGTTTTATCCGTCTTGTGTACAGTATTAAATATGGTACTTATTCTTGGACAATAAAAAAATGTAATTGCCACGTTACTGGCTTACTGCAGAGTGCAGACATTTTCCTCGCTGGTGAACATTTTCCTTTGTGGACTTGTTTTTTTTTTTGCATCGGGGTATATTTACATGGCAAGGCTAGAATTAGTGCAGAAAAGCATGGGGTATGTAGTTCATATGGTCATCACTGAAGTAAGAAGTGATGCCAACTTCGTTTAAGTACAGTATGCATGAAATACGCCAACTGAATAGGATGTCCTGAAATCTGTGACATCAGCCTAAAACGGCGACATTTTATGCTGCTGTACCTGGATTGTTCAGGAAGACTGGATGAACATCTAGCGCCTCACTATGGGCACCCTCAAATAATATGAGTTTTCGAGGAATGACATCTGTGGGAGGCTTCGGCATATTACTTTTCAGGCTCTGCTATTAAAGCATGCAAATCCCTTTGTGTGGAGCGTTCTAGGACGATCACCGCTGCTCATGGATCATGGCAACGCGACGTCGTATGCGATCGAACAAAGGATCAAGTGTGGGAGGGAAGTTGAGTTCTGCCAATAATTGAATGGGGTTGAGTGTGAGAGGTTTGAATTCCGACATTGCACTTGTGACGCTGAGATTTTGCGAGTGAAGTGTACAAGTGCTAAGATATAGCTGCTTGTGAAACCGTGCATTCTGGAAACTCGTGAATTGTTGCCGCAACGGAACTTAACATGACCTTTGGGAGCTTAGGGATTCATCTGCTCATGTACTCAAGTGTCCAAAAGAGTTCCAGATTGATCCTTCTTATGAGAATTACGGCTTAAGCAAATAAGCCTCGAATTTCTTTCGATGAATTTCCTTCGCAAAATGTCGAATCCAAAAATGTGTCCTTCGGGCAATTTCTTGCGACGTACTAAGATGAGAATTTAACTGGCTTTATCGATGCTTGAAAACGTCTGTTTCATGGCAATTCGTAAAAGGGAATGCCTAACGTTCAGTTCATTTTGAATATATGTTAAGAATGCGAATGTTTGGTCATGCATATCTGCGAAACTACTTGACGATAAATTAGATTCCGGTGCGCAGTATTTCGAACCATTTGCGATTTAAAATGTGTGCTGAAATTCGGGATCCGGCTGGTGCATTGGAAATGTCCTCGAGTCAAAGTTCTCAGTTCATTTCGATGATTTTTTTGAAGTTTGTTCATTTGAAGGAATCTTAACAGTTACATCTGTATTCGTTCGCAGGAAGACCCAAGACCCGTGTGATCCAGGAGTCGGCGAAATTCAGTATGATTTCCTCCTTTTCTTGATGTTCATTTGTGAGCTCCGTGCGTCCATCGCCGTTGCTTCAGCGATCTAAGGAAAACCGAAAACCAATCGATCGAAGATGGTTTTAACTCGGCAAGCTTGCAGTGCAAGCAACGAGGATTTCGGTCTACGAGAATGCACGATCACCACTCGTTCATCGAGCCAAAATGCTAACGCAGGATCGGTTTTACCGAAGAAGAACTTGTTGGATCTTCCGGCGGAAATTCTGATGAAAATGCTGGGTTTCCTGCCTATGAAGAAAGTTTCCGAAAGTCGAATGGTAAGTTTTCGGATATTGATGGATATATTTAAAGTCTTATTGCTTTTGTAGCCTTTTCGTCGACGTCTCTTGGACGTACAGTTTTGGTAGATCTCGAGATCGTCGTGACAGTTGACGATGTTTGCCTCTGTGCTTTCAGGTTTGTCGAAGATTCAACGCTATTGGAGGAGAATTGCTGACTAGCACGTTCCAGCGATTGCAGCTGTACGTACTGAAACGGTTCAACTGTATAAAGCACCAGATGCCTCGTAGGGAAAGTGCCCGAAGAAATCATCCGAGGGCCAGAGAAGCAGATATCATGGAAACCTTATCCATGCGCTTGTCATTGCTTCAAATGGCTTTCGGCCGTCATATCCAGAAGGGGAATATTTGTTTTTTCCCCGGAGAGGTTCGTTTCATAATATTTTCGAACTTCATCTCTTGGATTTCTGATATCATTTGAGTCGAAGCATTTTCTTCGCCTTGGGGAATATATCAAACCTGAGCTAGTCCACTAATTTTGGCGCCTAAAAACCGTCTTTTTTGTTCATGAGAAAGCATTTTCTTAATTCTTCAAATATATTCAGACTCGGAGCGAGGTTAACCATATGAGAAAAAAACCCCCTCAGAAGCAGGCTGTCCGTTTTACTATGTGAGGGTTATTATTATATCCGGGCACCATTCGAATATAACAATAACAATAGCGTAGAAAGTAGGCATCAAGTGTAATACTCGTTACTTTGTCCACCATACATCAAGTGTAATACTCGTTACTTTGTCCACCATACATCTAGTGTAATACTCGTTACTTTGTCCACCATACATCAAGTGTAATACTCGTTACTTTGTCCACCATACATCAAGTGTGATACTCATTACTTTGTCCACCATACATCAAGTATTTGAGTTCCATGTATAGAAAAATCCTTTGTCAGGCACATAATGTAGTTGGTGGTAGCTCATTTTTTTTCATCTGACACATTCACTAAGATCGAACGTTAGAGTTAGTTCATGGGTTCCAGCGTAAAATAAGTTCAGGTGTTTCTGAAAGTGCTGAATAGATTACCATACTTCAGGAGAAAGTGAGTTTTTTGATGTCTTCGCATATCAGTTAAATGTAACCTTATCTGCGGAGAATATGCAAATTTTCGTAGACGTGAATAATTGAAATACTGTGTATTGATTTTCCGCTTTTTTTATTCGTTAGATTTTGGATGAAGTTCAAAGGATCCTGACTTGCATTAGTGCAACGCCAGAAATCTCTAAAGCGTACAAGATTACTGAGGAACTCTACGATCTTTCGGCGATGGCCATGGAATATTTCAAGGAGAAGTTGGAGCCGACTTTGCCGGAAATATCGTACTTCAACACTGAATTCACTTATTGGGATGATGATCATTGTGAGTTTTAATTGACATTTTCCTGAACGAGCAATATTTATTTATAAATATGCATTATTTTTCTCCAGGTGAGTCGAGTGGGTCCACGTTGCCGCCACCTGCGATATTCGGGGAAGGTCCATCGCACCCGGGATTGGTACCTATGCCATTACCGATGGCCCCACCACCTCCTATTTCCTGGCGAGATGAAACGGAGTCTATCTCATCTGACGTGACGTCAGCGTCTAGCAATAATGCACCTGCTTCAGACGTTGTTATGAAGCGCAGTTTTCGGCGGATTCGCTTGGGAATGCAGAAGTACAAACGTTTCCATTCTATCAATCGTAACATGAATATTTTTGAAAAGTAATAATTTTCGGTCTTCGTTTGACTGCCGAATCTGAGCAGTTCTTAACCGTATTGAAGCCACAGTACTGTATTTAGTTACATTCATATCCTTTACTGTACTATCAGATTAGTGTGGTCATGCATAATTAATAGCTATCCTTCGTCCATTTTATTCTAGAAATAATCTCGAGCTGATTCGACTTCGGAAAGATTTGAAGACTTGCAAAGCTCGAGTGTCCAGTCAAAAGAAACTTCTGAGTAAGTATCACACTCGTCTGGACGAGTACGACAAGAAGTTCGAAGAAAATACGAAGAAATTCAGCACGTTGATCCAGGTACGTTTGCGTGTCATGAGCAATGACTGAGAAAACTCACGAACCCTCTTCAATCCTGAATTGTGAAATTCCTTCAAGCTGATACATGATAAGAAGTCTATCGAGGCCAGGAATGTTTATTTTCGAGAATATCACTGTAGTGGACGTTACTTGAGGGAGTCCATCTGTGATTTAGATTTGACTGTAGTCCTTAACTCGAAAACTTATTAGTGAGAACATTCGGTGTTTTTGTCGAGAATTCCGTTCTGTCCCTGGAGTTTTTCAGCTTACGAAAGTTCTTATACCCACCCACTTTTCGTGGGGTGTGAAACAGTCGAAGGCATTCAGAATTTCTCCCATATCTTCAGAAACACAATCTAATTCTACAAGTACCGTAGACGGCGTAGAGGCCTTGCGTAGATATCATTGTCCAATAATTTCGATTGAAGCATACAAACGCTGTAAAAGGTTTTCTTGTTGGTGAAATGACGCTGAATGCTAGTGAACGAGAACTTCTAAAAAAAATCCCGGCATAATGACGAGGAAAATTATATGAGATTTTTGAAAGTACGCATACCCCCTCGACAATTCGAAGCTTCAATGTTGCACTTGACATCAGATGTAGGCGATTCCGAAAACTTGACATTAACTTCGTCAGTTGGTTTTGTCGAGATCAGTAGATATTCTTTGTAATTGATTGACATTTTAAAGGAATTCTCACTCGTTTCTGACCATTTCATGGACACTGATGATGCGAAAACGGTCTGTTGAGCAACTTATCTCTTTTATATCGAAATCCCTACTCGTGATAAGCCTGCACGCGTGAGGATGACGACTTCTTTCCAATCTTAACTTCTACAGGAATTAAACAAATGCAAAACGGAGCTTCAGTATTGGCGTGCCAAGGCGCCCGTGGAGCAAACGAAAGAATGCGAAAACTGCGGCCACGTCATGGTCAACACGGCAATGGTCTGGGAAACGGATCCGATCGAGGACTCGAAAGATCGTCGCGCCTTGGCCCACCAAGGCATCATCATCGACAAGCCCTCAAGCTCTGACCTGATTTCAGCGAGCCTCAGTGCCTCGTCCGAGACTGAAGAGTTGGACATCGCTGTTGCAACTGCGTTGTCGTCCATTAGTTCTGCCGAATCCGAAGAAGACGCGTCCGAGACGGAAGAAGAGGTCGTGACCATGGTCAGCCCTGGGAAGGCGACGCGAGGCGTCAAGAAGGCGGCTATGTTGGGGAAGCGCAAACGGAAGGCGGTGGACTTGGCACAGCCTTCGTGCTCTCATCACCAGTTACCGCCGCCATCGGCCTCTGTGTCTGGCAAAAACCTGCGCCACAAGGCCGGGAAGCAGCCCGTGGCCAAGATGCCGGCTGGCAAGCGTGTCAAGCTGTAAAAATCGCAGGGAACGCGATCCTGAGGAGTAAACATACACGCACGTGAATGGCTCTTTTTTGCGATCAGTTTTCTTCATAATTTCCGGAGTTTATCACTCCTGTGTTTCTTCTGATAAGATTTTCTGTTGCAAGTGATCACTCATTGAAATCATTTCGTATTTACACGAGTATAAACCAGTTTCTCGCTTTCGAAGATAAGATACTATTGCGCATTAGAATCAGTGACAAATTAGATCAACATAATCTAGTTTTACCTAGAGTTCGAGAAGTATTCATCCATTCGAATGTTATCTGTAAGTGACGTCGTAGTATAACTGTATAACGTTGCATGCACTTCTTACGTACGCTTAAGAAATTACTAGAGGGAGTCAATGTTTGTGGGTTGTTATAGCAGTGCCTGTAATTTTAAAATTGGTACTCGTTTTGTTCCATCTTCTAATATCATTTCTGGTTAGAGGGTAATGCTTCGGGTAACTTTTCCCTGGAAAAATTGGAACGATTATTTCTTGTTCTGAAGTCGATGACATCTTGTACTGGATACGCTTAAATAGATTTGTTCTTCGAAAGTGCTGAATTTTGAAACGCCGAGATAGTGTGGACCCAAATACTGTAATTTATTGTTCTTGTTTAGAAAAGATTAGATTATTTCAAAGCTTTCGAAATAATTTGGAATTTAATTCAAGAAGTTCAAAATGCAGTTCTGATCTATTTTTAATGCTATTCTCATTTTCAATTGAAATCATAAGTTTCATTGCAGCTTTTTCTTCGATGATGGAATTTGACTACCGAAGTGCCGTTTTTGAATGAAATTGCGAATAGTCTTGCAATGCAACGATAGTCGTTGGACTGTAGGTGTCTAATGTAAAGTGTCCGTCTCCGTATTGAGCTATCGGTTCAGTTATTTTCCTAGTGTAGAAAGGGTAAAGTAAACTTTTTGATGGTTCTACTTTATTCTTGTTTTTTGAGTAAAAAGCTTTGGTAATTTCTCTTGGCAAAACTAAAGAATGAAGGAGGAAATTGGGGTGAGCTAAAAATGCCAATCAACTTTGCTTCTTGTGAAGCAAACAAGGGGAGTTATAACCCGGTTTGAATGGTTTTACGAGTCCCACCGCATTTTTTTACGTTTAGCTTCGTATTACTCGTAGTCCTTGCTGTGAGCTAAACGTGTAGCTTTAATTATATTTTTGCAAATTACGTCAGTTTTGTGGGGACGTCGAGTATAGTTGTGGTTCTTATGTATGGTTTGCGACGAGGTGTGGGAATTTTTTGTCTTTTCCTTTAAATTCTAGAAGTGATCCTTGGTTTTCGCGATCTGCCTAAGTTGCGTCCGGTGATTGAGAAGGGAAAGCCGTTAGAGTTCGAGGTTTTGTTACCTTCCGCGTGTGAAATCTCAATCCGTCTTATCGACTCTCAGGTACCTCTGGTGAATGCGTGTTGTAACACATTTTTAATATTGAGAAAAAGAAAATCCAACTTTTTTTTATTCAACTGTTTGGATGTGGAAAGATACGCTCTTTATACGACGGAGGGGGGTTTTTGGTCACGAATTTCCGATATGATTCGTTTAGCGAGAAATCATTTTGGTAAAAACTTCGGGCGTATTTTTACCGTGGTTTTTTTCTGCACTGCGCTTTTGGTTAAGTGATGTTCGAAGAAAGGGTGGGTCGAGAATAGAAGTACAATGAGTCATGAAGTGCGGAAGCATTTTCGTTCTAGGGATTTTTTTCCGTTTCGATTGCCGGAGCGTTGACGAAAATTTAGCCGTGGATTGTCCGAGCGAAAAAAATTAATTTTTCGTTCAAAATTTTTTGACGTTTCGATTTTGAGGCTTCATTCAGATTTGCGTGAAGGATCCGGTTGATGTACAAATGCGCGGAGTGCTTGTGTCCTAGTTAGGCGAAGAAGGCGATTTGCGGTTGTACCTGAAATGGGTGGAGATAGGATTTTTCATTTCGCCACTGAGTCGCACTTTCAGAAAAAGAAGAAAAAATCCTTTGTCGTTGTACAATTTTCCTACGAGCGCAGTTGCATCTTTACTATTATTTTGTAAATATTCGGGTCCGTTTATATCGCAAAAAGAAATATTTTATAGGATTTAGTCCGTTCATCGGCAGGGTAAACACCATTTGTACAAATCTTTCACCCGCTGTTTTTTGTGTCCTATTCTCACTAACGGAAGGATCTCTGTTCCGGGGAACGATTGGCTGAACCTCAACCGTCGTCTTAGCGATTTGCCAGAGAATCAGTTCACATCTTCTTCGAAGAATGCTTAAATCTTGAGTCGTAATTCACATCAGCATTAAAAAAAAATCGAACGAAATGCGACTTCACTTGTCGAAATCTTGTTTTAACGACTCTTGAGCTGGAAGACTTGGTATAGTGAACCAAATCTTGATGGACGTGAACGCCTCTTAGTTGTTTCAAGTGTTTCATATCAAGAACATTTTCTAAATTAGGAAGTTCAAATTTCAAAAATAATAATACTCACTGGGATATTTGTAAGTGATCTCTTTTTGTCTTCAAAATTCAGATGAGATGACTTCGTATTCTGGCGTATAGCGTTGTTCTTTTCTTGAAATCTTCAAACATTTGGAAGACGGGTCAGTGAAGGTGGCGATTTTCTTATTGTTTTTAGCACGTTTTAATACATTTTCGTAAATTTGGGATTTGCTTTCTGAAATCTGTCTGAAGTTTCTGTACTCCGGGAAACCGAAAAAAATCATTCTTGGAGGAATTCATGTAAAGATCAGCTTTTTTTTCTTCTGATCCACCCATGTGGTTATGACAATATTTTGCGTATAATAGCAATGGTCGATTTGTTTTTACTTTATTGAGAATAAAACTTGTTAATGCGGAAAACTCATTCGAAATTTGTTTTTCGTGTCGCATTACGTCACTCAGATTTGAAGGGTTGGGTTTTTCTAGGCTGATTCTCTGGTGATTTTCCTGTTGCTGTGAGGTTAGAACCGTGTTTCCTCTTTCGGTCAGGGGAAGATGTACTGGCGTATTGGGGGGTAAATCTTGTGAAGGACTGCTTATCAATCATCCGCATCTTCCCCACCGCCCCTGGTTGTGTCGTCCTGACTGTCGTGTGGTGCTCAGTATTTTTTAAATTTTTTGTTTTGTTTCGTGTGTGTCTTGATCAGGCAGAGGGTCGATCGGGAAACGTTTAGATTCTGTGACTCGATTTTACTTGCGAAGCGTCAAACTTCTTATTTTGTGTTTCTTTTTTTGGGGGGAGATGGGGAGGTTGTGAGCATTTGTCTGAGGCGCGTTGATCTTGCCCCATCGACTGTTTGTTCGCATGGAAGCGCGTGAAAAGTTTTAGTTACTCTCGATGATTTTGCTATCGTGGGTGTTTTTTTTTTTCCTTGTGTCGTCGCGTGTTTGTGGCACTAGTTCATATGTGCCAGAGTTTGCATCAATTCCTCATCCCAGCTTGCCTTGTGTTATTATTGAATAAAGCAAGCGTCAATTTTGAATCCGTCTCTGAATTATTTGAGAAAACGACGTCAGCAAGGGGAAAGGTTGTATACTGTACTGGATACACATTACTGTCGAAAATAATTTGTGCTGCTCCTGCAGGCTTTGCAAAATTTATGTTGGTCCAAGCATAGCTTTGATTAAGGTGCTGAATTAGATAATACAGTAATACAGTGGGGAATTATGCATGAATTGAATGAACAGGGGGACTCTCTGTACAACAATTTTCTCCATGCAACTTTTTTCTGTGTGGTCTCATAGGTTTTTCTCCCCATTTTAAAGGGGTTATCTGTGATGAAATTCTCTCTAAATTAATTTTTTCTGATCCCTTCAGTTTTGTTGAGGAGTCCAACTGTATAATCTCAGGTTATGTTCTTTTTTATTTTTCAATGCTGACTGTTCAGTAAGTAGAATAAATGAGGAAATTATACTTTTATGCTGTGAAATATTTATGAAGGAACCCTGTGTCATTAGCCAAGAAAATATGTTGCATTGTATGTGTAAAGGTCCTTAACAGCAAACAAGTTTTTCTCCAGATATTTTAGATTTACAGTACAGTTGCCATGTAGGAAACCATCTTTCCAGGATGGATGTTCCTTGCTAACATAGATTCCTGTGCAAGAGCTTATACCATACAGTACTGTATATGGAACAATTCAATGCTTTTCTCATGGTCACGGTGGAATTGGGTTTTCTTTTTTTTTCTGCCAAGGCTGATCTGAATTATAAACAACCCAAGAAATTTATGCCTCAGACACATGACCATTTTCAGCTTGAAATCCCAAACTTTGTTACTTCTTGATCGCCGAGTTGACGACTTCCCTCACATGTCGACCCACAATAGTTTGAGGTTTTTGTTGTTATTCCAACGTGGTCCCATCTGCACTTCGTGAAATTTTACAAATAACGTGTTTACTCTTGTGTTAGGCTTCGCAAAATTTGTGTCGCTCGTGTTTGGTGATTCTGTGAATGATGTGATTTATCACAGTCAGCATAAGAAATGTTTTATTTGAATCACTGTTAGTTGGTACAGTGAGACAGGTGCGTGATGGTTTTAGCGGATTTGGGAAAGAAAATTACCTCAGCATTGAGGTCGCTGAGCAATGCAACTGTCATCAATGAAGATGTAAGCACGTGTAATGTCGAAGGTATTTTCGTTGGACTTGATCAAATTATTTATATCTTAACAGGTTCTCAACTCGATGCTCAAAGAGGTTTGCGCTGCCCTTCTGGAAGCAGATGTTAACGTACGAATGGTTAGCACGCTTCGAACCAATGTACGGTCCGTTATCGACTTCGAGAATATGGCAGCTGGCCTTAACAAGCGTCGTATCATTCAGAGTGCAGTCTTCAAAGAACTCATGAAGGTACAGTAATCTTTTTTCTCGCTTTGCTCCGTTCAAACAGTGCATCCAGGATTTTGTTTCAGCTGGTTGACCCTGGAGTTCCGGCCTACCAACCAGTGAAAGGAAAGCATAATGTGATCATGTTCGTCGGCTTGCAAGGTTCTGGAAAAACCACAACATGCACGAAACTTGCCTATCATTACATGAAGCGTGGTTGGAAAACTTGCCTTGTTTGTGCTGATACCTTCCGTGCTGGCGCGTATGACCAGCTGAAGCAGAATGCTACCAAGGCTAGAATACCTTTTTATGGGAGGTCTGTATTGTAAATTTCCGGCGATATCTGGAACTCGAATCATTCGCTCCGTGGCAATTTTTTTTCAGTTACACTGAGATCGATCCGGTTGTCATTGCCCAGGAGGGCGTCGACATGTTCAAGAAGGAAGGATTTGAAATAATAATCGTGGACACGAGCGGACGTCATAAGCAGGAAGATTCCTTGTTCGAGGAAATGTTGCAAGTGTCAAATGCAGTAACCCCTGATGAAGTTATCTTCGTTATGGATGCCAGTATTGGTCAGGCTTGTGAAGCTCAAGCCCGAGCTTTCAAGGAAAAAGTTGATGTCGGTGCAGTCATAATCACTAAATTGGATGGTCACGCGAAGGGTGGAGGTGCTCTGAGCGCGTAAGTTGCCATGGATCTTCCAGTGGTAGTATCGATATTCGCACGATAATTCTTTACTTCGCAGGGTTGCAGCTACCAAAAGTCCTATCATATTCATCGGTACTGGAGAACACATCGACGATTTTGAGGTTTTCAAGGTTAGACCTTTCATCAGCAAACTTCTCGGAATGGGTGACATTGATGGAATCATCGAAAAAGTGAATGAGCTTAAACTGGACGAAAATGAAGAATTGATAGATAAGTTGAGACAAGGCCACTTCACTCTGCGAGACATGTACGAGCAGTTCCAGAATGTCATGAAAATGGGACCATTTTCCCAGATTATGGTAATGTTTTCCAGCCTAATTTTGCTTGTGATTTGTTATAATTTAACGTTTATTTTTAGAGTATGATCCCCGGGTTGTCTCAAGACTTCCTTGGTAAAGGTGGTGAACAAGAATCCATGGCTCGGTTGAAGAGATTGATGACAATCATGGACAGCATGAATGATGAAGGTAGTTTTTGTTGTTGTGAAACTGACGTGCATTTTTAAATAATTTTTTTGTTCAGAACTGGATTGTCGGGATGGAGCAAAATTATTTCAGAAGCAACCAGGACGATACATGAGAGTAGCGTGTGGATCTGGCGTTTTCGAACGTGACGTGAAAGAAGTTATATCTCAGTATACCAAGTTTGCTCAGATCGTGAAGAAGATGGGTGGAATCAAGGGGCTCTTGAGTGGTGAGATTGTATTCATTTTATAAAATTTTTCTGTTTGGTGATGCAGTGTTTCCTGGAAAATTAGAACCTATTTTCTCGGAAAGAACTATGGTTTACATAGAGGGAAATGTTTCGTTCATACCGCCTGAAAATTTGGTCAGATTTTCCAATTGCTGAATTACACAAAATTTAAAGGCTGAAAATCAGAATTGGAGGTGAAACACTGCATTATTAAATACAGGACGAAAATCCTTGTAAAGAAGATTTTTTTGTAGTAAAATGTCCTTAGTGGAGTTTTGCGCAAACTGTGTGAGATTCAAGTTTTTATCGAATTTTCCGTGCGATTCAAGTCTTATTCTGATGAAGAAATTTTTCAATTTTTCTTATTCTGATGAAGAAAGATATAATTCGCCAGTGTTCGAGAGTTAATTACGGAGAATGTTACGACGTTAAACGAATTCAGGCGCTGAAATTTATTTCAAATCTGCCTTTCAGGAGGTGATCCAACAAAGCAAGTCAATCCCACCCAAATGGCAAAGTTGAACATGCAAATGGCAAAAATGATGGATCCTCGTGTGCTTCATCAGATGGGTGGTGTACCTGCATTGTCAAATATGATGCGGCAGTTACAAGGGGGTGCAGGGAATATGGGAAATCTCATGGGATTCGGAAAGTGATCTCCTGAGATTTTTTTTGGTGAAGTTTTCAAACGCGATGACACCGTTACCCTGCGATGGTTTTTTTTTTTTTTCTTTGTGGAAGTTGTGATTTTCAGTGAATTATTTTCGTCTTGCCTTTTCGTCATGTAATCATGTCCCTCCATTTCGTTCGGGAAATATGATTTGCTGAATATCACAGCTTTCCTCCAGCGAGTTTGTGTTGCCCAAATATTCGACTTGGAATCATGGAGTTGTAAGCCGATTTCCGATTTTTGGGAAAAATGGAAGGATTATTTCTGCTTTTGCAGTCTCCGTTGATGCTCTGCGAGCTTCGAATAATTTTCTTTTATCCGGTTTTCGTTTTAATATTTTGGTTCTTCTTCAGGGTCGATTATGTGAACGGAAGTGTTCTTCAACTGTGTTTCTGTGGATTTGGTTGTGTTAGCGAAGATGGCCTCTCGGAGCCATACGGAATTCTTCATATGCATGCGGAACAAAGCGTCCATGAACCGGCACTACCTTGCCGAACAGGTGAAATAGAAAACTTGGTCGATGAACAAAGTAGACCTTATGTGTGTATCATAACGTTAAAAATGGTATTTTTTTCTACTGCCCAATTTTTTGCGCTGTATTCATGATCCCCTTTATTGGTGCAGTCACTCATACGTTTTCCGAGGAATTACAATTTCAATGATGGCTATTGCGCGTAGGAATGAGCAAGTTAGAAAGTTATTTTACAGTATCTCGATTTTTAGTTGCAATTTTTGCTGAGCTTTTGAGAATTTACTTGGTGGACTAGAAGATGCATATGGTACGGATAAAAATTATTTGTCTGGAGTGGTCCTATCACATCAGAAAACATTTTCAAAATGAAATTTAGATTAATTTCTTTTGAATGATGTTTATATCTATGAGTCTGCTTGTCTTATTATAATAATCCTGCCTGTTGGTGTCGAATATATCCGAAGAAGAAGTTGCTGCTTTTGGTTTCATGCGTTTAAATTCACTTGAAATATGCCAGGAAAGTTTTCGGACATTTTCGAAATCATTTCGCGAAACTTCAAGAATTCTTATCTAGGTCGAGATTGGAAAATGTCCTCGAAAAGTCGGCAAAGCAACCCATCTCTATGAATTTAGAGCTTTCGAGTGAAAGATCGTTACTAAAATGTGCTTGTTTGCGGCTTCTCATGGGTGAGATATACTTGAGTTCTTGTAAATTGAGGAAAAAGGGTTGTCAGAAGCCAGTTAGGCTGTTTCTCTTCGTAAATTTGTTATATTTTGTTTCTACGATGCAATGCAAAGAGAGTTAATCTAAATTTTAATTATTGGTATTCTTGAACGAAGCAATTTTTCTTCGTTAAGGTCACCAACGAGAGAGATACTTTAGTGGAGCATGAAATGACGGATGTGGAGCTTAATGCCGGCTCAAGGCTTCTTGGTGGACAAAAACCACCGGAATGGCTCGATGCGCTCGACGACGTGCAATGTCACTTGGACAGATTACCGAAAAAAATCACGGAACTGGAAACCCTACATGATAAACACCTCAACAGACCCACGTTTGACGACTCTGCGGAAGACGAACGGAGAATAGAAACGTTGACCAAAGAAATTTCGCGAGTAAGTTTCGATTCCCTTAAACAAGGTTGAGAATCATTGATCATAGAGAAAACCAGCATGTTCGTTGAATATAGGTAGAATATAAAGTTGCCCGTATTCTGCATGACGTGAAACATTTTATTGATGTGCAGATATTTTCGCATGCTCAAGGATTACTTCTTGAGATCAAGGCGAAACCGCGCGGAAAAGCCGAGGAAGAAATTCTTCGGCAGAACGTGATGCGGTCTGTTGCCATGGCTCTGCAGGACTATTCTGCATCTTTTCGGCAGGTGCAATCGTCTTACGTGCGAGGTGAATTTTGTTTTGAAACTTTCAAAGCCAATTTTCCTGCCACCGAACAATTTTAAAAAATTTCCAAAACGAAAAGACTGCAGATGCCCGAAATTGCGCTTTGTGGGAAAAATCAGAAGTATGAGAAAGGACGTGTTCGAAAAAATTCCCACGATTTGAAGAGCATACAAGATTCGAATACGTTACAGCTTCTCATTATGGTAGAATCTCGTTGCAAGGAACATCGTTATGACCAATCCTTGCTTACAATTTTTTTTTCTCGGTTCCTTGAAGTAAAGTACTGTAACAACGGTTTTTGATCTTACAAATTCTTCATCGTTAACATTTTCAATTGTCCCCATATCCCCGTTGTAATGATATTCTGCTTTATCATGCAATAATGCAGTTTTTTTTTGGTCGAACAAAATAAATTATTGAAGGGGATTCCATGATTTTGTATACCTCTTTGAATCATATGCCCGATAATTTTATTTTGATTTTTTCTCTAATTCTAATTCACCAACATTTTTGAGATAGGCTTGAATTTCCCGAATATCCGACGCCACAGAAGAATGAAGAAGAATGATGCGGCGAATTCTAAAGAGCGTCTTTTTCTATAATTTGAAAATTTCAAGAGTCTTTCGAGTTCTTCGTGAACGCATTAATTTTCAAATTAAATTGATTGCAGCTTTGAAAAGTCGAGAGGATTGGTCAGACCCATATTTTGCCGTGCCTTCGAAAATGGCGGCAGAGGACGATTTGAATGCTACCTACAGTAATGGCTTGGAGGATGCCCTGCGAGATCCGTTATTTGGCATCAAATCTCCAGACTCTGTTGGTGGAATCGGGTCTCAGCGACAGTTGTTGCTTCGGATGGAAGAGGACACGTCTTGGGCCGATCAGCGAGACAAAGAAATCAGTCAAATCGTGAAGTCTATCGTGCAGCTAAACGAGCTTTTCCGGGATCTTTCACAAATGGTTGTTGAACAGGTTGGACTTTCAATTCTCTTCTTTCAAAATCATCCAATTGTTCTTGATTTATGATTGAAGTCAAAACTAATTACACCATTCGTGCTAATGGTGACACGTTTTATTCCGGATAAATATAATCACGGACTTTAAAAAAAATGGCGAACAGTTATGCAAAATCCTGACGCAGTACAGTATATGGGATATCTTTTCTTTAATGTCAAAAATAGTTTTTTTTTTAAGCCTCAAATTAACGGAATGAGAAGCCATCTCAAACTTAGCTGTAGCCCACGTCACAGTCACCGATGTGCGATCTTTTCTCTGGATTATTTTAAATCTACGAGGGTTCAAAACTTTTGAGGGAAAAAATTAACTGGTTTTGACGCTGTTTGGACTGAATTTTTCCTCAAAATTACAATTTTTATAGCCCTCCATTTTTTGGGTTCAATTCACTGCCCTGTCTATACAGTTATTGCGAAGAGAAGTGGATTCTAAGTAAAAAAAAAATTTGTGATTCTTGTAGCTGGAATGCCGTAGGGTCGAACAATTGAGGCACGGATGATAAAGTCACGAGAAATTGAGGCCTTACTTCGTTTTTCTTGTGAGTTGGTGCTGCTGTGTGATTCATCACGCGTGAAATAGGAACTTATGTATAATCGCATGAGGAATTAATTTAAATGTAATTTTATTTGTACGCACGATGCTTCTAATTGATCTGATTTTTTTCATTTTCAGGGTACTGTTCTCGACAGAATCGATTACAACATTGAGAACTCTTCAGTAAGTGTTCATGAAGGGCTCCAGCAGTTGCGGAAAGCGGAGACATATCAGCGAAAAAACCGCAAAATTCTCTGCATCATGGCATTGGCCGGTACTTCGGTGTTCCTTCTCATCATACTCGTTTTGGTGAAAACGTCGTGATTATTTTTTTTTAATCGAAAATTGGTGCTCGCATTCCGAATCGTGACCGAGCTAATTTATCATATAAAACTCTGCACGTTTTCCTCGCGGAATGCAGGTTGGGGGTGTGGGTTGACAAAGAGGGCGAAATCTATGTGGTTTTGAAGTTAATTTACATTTCACCGACGATGTGATTGGTGGCTGCTTGGTCCAACTGTGTTTTTTTTTCGGCGCTTTGAGTATGGATATGTGTGGAAGAGGATTGCAAAGGTTCAAATCGGCGAAATGAGACACGAGTTATTTTTTCAGCTTTTGGATAAATCATTACGGTCTTTCTGTTTATTAATTTTCTCTTTGTTTGAACAGTCGTGTATCCCTGATTTTGTGGTTTGCATCGAAGATGAGCACGCCTTGTTTTGGACTTTACTTCGGGAACTCAAACTTCTGCATCGCCGTGCATTTCGTGAGTAGCCGTTTTGCTTCATTTCCTTCATTATTCCACCGGGTAATGCGAACCATTTAGTTATGAGGTGGAAGAAAAAACAGTCACGTTATGTTTTTTAGTGAAACGAACGTGAGAATTTTGAGAAGGAACGTTCATTCATGAGAATTTTCTTCAATATTCGCCGTGATTTTTTCACGTCAGAAAAAAATCTTCGCTTTCAGCATAAATCACACCCAAACTGAAGATCAGAACGATTCACTGTAACGTATATCGCGAATTCTTCGATAGAATTGGACCATTTGCCAATTTATAAATTATGTAAATGTGACAGTTGCCTTCTTTCCTCATGATGTAGTGGGCTTCTTTACTCATGATGATTCAGTTCACTTCTCCCTCATTTTCCTCTCTCCAATTCAACGTGGGTTACCAAAAATTGAAACTGGGTACAAGAAAATAATCTTAAATGAATCATAAAATTAAAATATCTCCATCCGTCTAATAAAACTTGGTCAAAGAAAACAAGCAATCTTAAAATCTTACGATCGAATCATATTGAATTTTTTTTCGTAAGGATTCGTTAGGGAGTGATTCGATTGGTTTTATTTTTCGCTACAGGATGGACGAAATGCCGTGCTTTCGAACAGCCGAGGAGATAGAACAACCCCAACTGTCGTAGCGGTTTCAAGTGAGGAACGATTGATAGGTGCTACTGCTAAGCAACGGATTGGTCGACCAGGAATAGATATAGTACAGGGCATGAAAGCATTGGTCGCCAATCCTGATCCTGCGCAAAGCCTTTCTTTATGGCCACACAGTGGTTTTGTAGCCACAGTTGAGTCCGGGCCGGTTTTTGCGCTAACAAAAGCTGGCGACAGTCAAGAGGTGATGAGTGTTGAAGAGGCCCTGAATATTGTGTTCAACGAGTTTATGGGTGAGATGATTTAATTATTTTTCCATCTATTTCTCATTGATCGTACTGGTTTTATGGGGATTTTTATTCGGAATATTGTTTGATAAAAAAAAAAAAACTGATTTGTGCAATGCATTTGTAACGATGGCGTTTAATTTCAGAAATCGCTCGGAGCCAAGTGACGAAATTGGACGAAAACCTAAAAGCTGTACTGACTGTTCCCGTGGAATTCGACGACCAGAAAACGGATATCTTGAAGCGAGCCGCTGCCAACGCCGGTTTTAATGTAATTCAAGCAATTGCTGAACCTGCTGCCGCGGTCCTTGCTTATGATATCGCACAGAAGGACTCTCTCTGCACCCCGTGAATATGCTTCTTTGATTCAAAAATCTTCTTTGTATTTATTTCCACGTTAAAAAAAAGAAAACTGCTCCAGAATGATGTATCATCTGATGTGGGAGGAAAAAAGTCTGGAGCATTGCCATGGTTTTACCTGTATAAGACATTTAAATGTTGGGGATGGGAAATCCTTTTTGGGTATTTTAACAATTTTTCTCGCTTATGCTATGACTCTTTTTTGCTTAAAATCCTGTTTCCTCAATTATGTATTTTTTTTCAGGACTTGTTTGGTGTACCGTGTCGGTGGAACCACTAGCGATATTACCATTGTCAGTACAACTTCTGGACTGTACTCGATAGAGGGTCACAGATATTACGCAACTCTCGGTGGAGATTTGTTGACCAAAGCGCTGGCAGATCATTTCAGATCTGAATTTAGTTCGTAAGTATTCCTGAAGTTCTCCGCTTTTTTATTGATGTAGATTCTTTACCCTCTACAAAGTCTGCATCAATATTCTCTTGCGAAAAATTACTGTACAATTCTCCAATTGTTGTTGAAAGATGTATCCTCGTTTTCACATCATGGATTCGTTACTTGAACAAAAATTCAAGATCACCTTTCGTGTATTTCTTGGTGTTTTTTTTTTTTTAAATCTTCACGTGGAACATCAATATTAAATCAGTATGTGGGATATTCCAGTCCTGTCTGGCCTTGCGAAATTCCACTCAAGCCATTTTTTATAATCTCTGTCAATTGTACCCCGATTTGCCTAGTTTCATCGAACTTCTGAAAAATGTACAGCTTTACTATTCCTCTGGATGGAGCTTCAAATGAGAGTAAGATATGATTTTGGACCGATTGGTTTCTCGCGGAATGATTCGATTTAGGCTAATTGAATTTCAATCTATGCCGCCCCGAATGAAATCCAGAAGAAGGAACGCAGGAAAAATTTAACGAAATCCTAGGGTACCCCGCTGTACACTTTCACGGCGACTAAAAGCGAATGATGAGGGAATGGAACGTCGCTGTTATCTTGAAAATGACAATACCATTCGCTTTTTGTTGCAGTAAATACAAGATGGATCCTTGCGAGGATTCCCGCCGGGCATACCATAAGCTTTTTGCCGCAGCCGAGGAGTGCAAACACGTTTTGTCAACCCTGCCTTCGTCGAGTGCTTTCGTGGAAAGTCTCCGAGACGGAGTGGACTTCTCTTCAAACGTGACGAGGGCCCGGTTTGAGAGTGTCGCCAACGTCCACTGGGACCGCTTTTTAGTTCCTGTTCGAGAGATACTCGCAGATGCTGGGCTTGGGTTTGATGACATCGACGTGGTAAGCATTCAAGTGGGGTTTTATTCATCGGATTTTTAATTTTTAGTTTGTTTTGCCCAAATCATTGGAATCGAACTATCCAGAATTATAATAATTACAGAGTTGGCAAGAGATCGATTGATAATGTCTTGGGATGGCAATCTTGATGTTGGAGACGCTTTTCGGTTTTTTTATTCATGAAAAATCCGTATTCGTTTTTTTAAAACAATTTTTACGTGTTCTTATTTCAAATTTATTACTCATTTTCAGGTCATTTTGGCTGGAGGAACCATGAAAATCCCCAAGCTGCAAAAACTAGTGAAAGATATGTTTCCAGAAAACACGACGTTGTGTTTTAGCATACCTGCTGATGAGGTTGTGGCCGTTGGTGCGGCTCAGCAGGCCGGAATAAAGGCAAACTCTGCGTTATCTGCTCCGCCTGCATTGACAGAACTTGTTTGTTTGTCTCGTGGAATTTTCTTTCAGGTGATGTCAATTGTTTCAATCTTCTGAAATATTCATTTAATGGAAATATCGTTTTTCGAAATACGTATTAAGTATAATATTGCATTTTAAACTTTTTGCGGTATTCCAACTGACGTACGTTTTCAGTGGCTGAACCACGAAGCTGCCAGCTATTCAGAATACTATTCTCTATCCTTGGGTTAATTCTGTTGAATATGAATTGGAAAAGAAAATGCCTTCTCGGTAATCCGATTTAATTTGTTCGGGATAAATACTGTATTTTCGTTCTCATATGTTTGATATGTATTTATTATTTTTACTGTAGATCGGCGAAGAAGGAAAACCAAGGTGCTTATTAGCAGCGAAAACATTAATACCGGCGCATCATGTGGAGCATTTAAATGACAACATCGAAGAGGGACGAATTTCGCTCAAGTTTTTTGAAGCAGATTGTTTGAAGGAGTGCCATGCTGAAACTGCGACTTTTTTAGGAAGCGTGAGTAATTAATCGTGTGAAGTAAGCTCGATACTGTATGCTGATGGAGTTTCTTTGATTTTCTTAGTTGACTTTAGATTCACTCGCGGAGGATGCTCACGTCAACGTTTCGTGTAGTGTTTCCAAGTAAGTTCGTAGAAATCGTTTGTTTGAAAGTTTCTTGTGCCTTTTTGGCGAAAATTTTGAAGCGTTGAGTAATTCTGAAACTGTTAGTTCTGGCTATGACTCTTGTCTGATTTATAATTTATAACTTGATTCATTTTCCGAAGACATGGCATTTGTGTACTCCTGTCGTTTAAGGGATATGATCGTTGTCAAAAAAGCTTCAATCATGGTTTGAATATGAAATTTGTGCGCAGAGATGGAGCGGTGTCCCTTGCATTGAGAGATGGCGTCTCCAACAAGCTTCAAGAACTCTACCTCGAGGCAGAAGACAATGAGTGATAATTTTTACCGACTTGTTTCTCTTCCCCGGTTCGCGATTTTATGATGCTTGCTCACGTGAAGCTGAACTCATTGAATGCCCTCACGAACAACGTGTTTTCATTTTCGCATAATTTTCGTTGGATCTTTGAAAATTAATTGCTGCGTCGATTGCCGATCTTGTTGTTTCTTTGTCCACAGAATTTCCAGCGGGGTAAATCATTATTTAATCCTGACTTCTCGCTCGTCGAGAGGAAGTGATCTGCGTATCTGTGAATGGGCTTTGGAGAAAATGCCCGGTGCCTTGTCACTCAGTGCACTGGCGTCATGCGTCAGCTTCTGGGTCACAATTCGATTGGTGCGGAAATTTAAGAATACTTTCATTGCCGCCGGGATTTCCGGAAAAGATTTGTGCAAGAAAGACCATCCTGTGATGTACGTATAAGCCTTGATATCTTTTAATTTCCGCCATATAAGGTTAACATTTTTGGAGCTATTCTTACTGATCACAAAATCAGATCGGCGCGTTATTCGAAGTCCTGCGTTGGATGTGCAAAAAGCTGCTATGAAGTGAAATTATTCGGCATTTCTGTTTCTGAAAGGAATGTAGAAAGCGTCACAATTGTTAACTAATCCGTTGAGAATTAAAAAAAAATTTTCTGGAAGCACGATAATTGCAATTACGATTAAAACTTAGTCATTATTATTATTTGAATTTCATCCTTAATTTAGTCAACTCTTCAAAAGCCACAAGAACTTGGGATACATAAAAGTGAAACTAAAATCTTTTTGCGACTGCCAGCGATATCTACTCGCTCGGAAATTATCCTTCACCGTAATGGACACAGCCGGGAAATGTTTTCTAGTTAAGATGACAAATCCTTGACGACTTTTTGAGCACCAGTTATTTAGATTGCGGAGTCAGCAATGAACCATTCTTAATGTAAACCGGATGAACGTTTTTGAGCCAAGTTCCGCATCTCGCTTTGTACAAATGAGAGCATGAATGAATGGCACATCGCGCAAATTCTATTTTTCAATTGTTCCGCTTGCTTTCTAGACCCGAAGCATGTGGCGTTTTGTCAGGCTGCATATTCCTTGTGGTAATGTCAGCGCTGTTACCAGCGACCTTTGGGCACCATTTGATCTCTGGGAACAAGAATGTATTTCCGTACCATGAGGTTCGTTACTTTTTTTGGGGGGGTCCTAATGAAACTACGGCAATTTACCATTTCGTCGCGTTTTAGTTTGTGGAACATCTCGCTGGGATGTTGTCAATTTGTTGCATGATCCTTCTCGGATTTGCCGACGACGTGTTGAACCTTCGTTGGAGACACAAGATACTGCTGCCTATGCTTGCAGCCCTGCCGTTGCTTTGCGTGTACCTGGTGAATTTTAATTCAACCACGATAATTATTCCGCGTCCTTTGCGTGTTTTGTGTGGATCCTCCATTGATCTAGGTTAGTCTCTCTTTCTTCTGGTGTTTATTTTTAATTTTTAATATAAATTCTTGGATTTCCGTAGGAATGTTCTACTATGTGTACATGCTTCTCATCACGGTATTCTGCACAAATGCCATCAACATTTACGCTGGGGTCAACGGTCTGGAAACGGGTCAAACTCTGGTGATAGCTTTATCAATTGCGCTGTTCAACGTTGGGGAGCTGATACTCGGGATTGACCCCGCAGCACACGCCTTGTCGCTGTATTTCATACTTCCCTTTCTGGGGACAACTGGAGCATTGTTCTACCTAAATTTGTAAGTAGATTATGCGGATTTTACTTCATCAGATTTCTTTCAATTAGGCCCTTGTCGAATTTAGATTTTTTGCGCGTAATATGAAGTAAAACGTAAGTTGGTCTGAAGTATAAAATGCGCGACGGACCCGAAAATACTGGTCTGATCTGTAAATTGCATCACTGTAAAGACTGAGAAGTCGAGAGTTCAACTCAAGCTCTGCAATGTCATAACAAAAATAATTTTTCAATCTTGTCTTCAAATATTTTTTTTACGAAAAAAATCGAGATGGAATCCTCAAAAGGTTTTTCGTGTCTATTTTTAGATTTTTTCAAAACGTTCACGGCAAATTTTACGCCGTGATAATTCAATTCGTACTTGGTGCAGATTTTTTTCTGAAACATCTTGTGAATTCATCATCAGCTTTTAGTTTATTGTTCTCCGATACAATTCACAAGTTTCTTTCGTTTAGCTGAAAGAATCGCTAAACTGAATAATTTTCCGAAAAAAATATTTTTATGATTTACCGAACGTTTACAGTATCTTTGAGTGGCCTAATTAAAGTGTGGGGCTGTGCTTCAAAGTTTGGTCGATTCGCCTGTTTTTTTTTGAAAATAATTGAAATATCTATCCTTGAAGACAACCCAACGTATTTGAAACGCTTGTACAGTAATTCAAAAAATTCCATAAATTTACCATACTGAAATTGTTGTTCAAGCTTCAGTTGAGCATCTCTGCGTTCATGTTAGTAGAAGGTTATACAGTAATTTGGAAATCGGGTTAATAGTTTCTTGCCTCAGAAGCATTCTATATTTTTTCATTTGTTGTGTGTACAGTATTTTATTCATTTATTTTTTTTAATGAATGGTGCACTTTTTTTTGTGCAGTTATCCTGCGGAAGTTTTTGTGGGTGATACTTTCTGCTACTTTGCCGGGATGACAATAGCTGTCGTGGGAATCCTCGGTCATTTTTCCAAGACGGTGATGTTGTTTCTGTTGCCGCAACTTGCGAACTTCCTTTACGGGTTGCCGCAGTTGTTCAGGTTAATCCCTTGTCCGCGACACAGGCTTCCGAGATTTAATCCCGAGAAAGATGTGGTCGGCGTTAGTTCTGTGGTTTTCAACGACAAGCGTATCGGACGCATCGGAAGTGCCTGCCTGAAGATCTATAGAATGCTCGGCATAATTCACTACGAAGAAGGTGTTGTGGATTATTCTCCGAAGGAGGTTGGGGAAGGAGACAAAGTCGAAGAGTGGGTTGTTGTTCTCGAACTTTCATATACAGTATAGTACAATTACTTTTTTCAAGTTCACTCGGGGTGGGTTGGACAATTGTAAATTGATTTCAAGGATCAATGCTGTTTCTGCTCTGTAAATTCTGAAAAAAGTTGATATACACTCAAAGGAGGTTGCATTAATTTTCTTTTTGTGTGCCACACACGCTCAAGCATTAGTTCGTCGGCCATATTTGTATTCGTCTTATTTGTGTCGAGGCCAGGGGAAGAAAATAATTATTCGACTAATAAGGAATAATGTACCAATTCGAAGTGTGTGAAGCTTGTGTTCATGTCAAGATTCAACTGATCAATTTTCGCAGGTTTTGAAATACTGTATTGCTGTTTGAAATGTTTTGTGGTCCACCCTAAAATTGCCTCATTTTGGTCCTGAACGGAAATATTTTTGGTTTTCACGTTTTTCTGATGTGTACCCTATTTATTGTCATTTTAATCAGGAGTTGAGGTTTGTCGTCTGTTTTTTTAGCCGTGGAGATGGAAACGGGTTGGTGAGGTGCAACAACTTGACGCTCATCAACCTGTATTTGAAAATATTTGGGTCAACATCTGAGCACAACCTCGTGACTGGCTTGTTGATTTTTCAAGTGAGAAAATATTGTGTTAAAATTGTATACAGTATCGAGATTATTTAACGTACTTGCTTCTCTTTTTTACAGGGTCTCAGCAGCTTAGTGGCGTTTGTGATTCGATATCCACTTGCGGGACTGTTTTACGATACGTGAAAAAATGACTGCGTTCAGATTGTGCTGGTCAATCGGGCTGCCGTGTGTTGTCGTCTTGTTACCACGGGAAGCTTTCCCTGTTTGTCTGTTTTTGAGTGTGCTGTGTCGATGAAGCGCGCTAATGTGAGACTTTCGTGGCATTGGAGAGGAAAGTGGCTTGATATCTTGAAAATTGTTTTATTCTGCTCGAAATAATAGGATTAATAGAGGANAATGTTCCTTTCTTCACAGGTCAATTTATTTCAGAGACTCGAAGTGATTTGACTCAGTGATTTTCCGCTGACTCGTCTAGTTTCATCGATACACGAGTACAGTCTACGCAATTACTTCGTCAATACAGAATTTTTTGCTCGAAAAACCTTCTGAATTTTACTGAATTTAAACGCGTGTGTGTGTTCAGGAGGGATGGAATTTGCGTTTAAATGGAGAATGTCTTACATTTTGCGAAGACTGATGTCTGCACTTGTGTTGATGAACTTTTTGGTCATTATTGCGCCTGAGGAAGCTGAAATAGATTTCAGCAAACCACGTGGACTCATCGCATTTGGAAAAAGGGGAGCTTCTCAAAGTTTTCCAATGTAACCGCGGAATTCGTTCCATGCATGAATTTCGAAATTTTGAAAAAGCCTTTGGAACTTCCTCTAAATCCGACAGCGTAGCACTTGCGTGTACAGTACAGTATTCATTTCTGATCATCTGTCCTGTTTGAGAACGGATAATTTATATGCGGTAATACTAGTTTTCTAGGTGTAGATCACGTGTTCCATTTATGATTTTCTTATTTGTTGCAGAAGTAAGCTTAAGAATGTTTTTTGTACAGTACAGCGGTTGAAATAAAATTACTGTACTGTTGAACAATGATTGGAAGAAAAATTATTGCGACACTCACAACTGAGCTGACTACAAATCATTGCTACCTATATTATAAATACTGTCGAGTAGATTCATATCAGACCTGAGGAGTGATGTGACCAGCATGGCTTGTCAAGATCACATCGCTTGTTTTTGAAATCTAAGCAATATCTGGAAATAATTTTGTGAGAAAAATCACTGCATATACTATTCTGAAGAAGTGAAAATAGTTGGAGAACATATTATTGCTGGAACACACTTTAAACCCTGATGACTGTTGAAACTGGAACTGAAATCACAAATCTGAAAGCTACATGAAACTCAGTACAGGATTTGTGAAATTCAAGTCTTCATCTACTTCGTAGTGTCCTGTAAGAAGTAGAAGGTGGTCCTAAATGGCCATGTTGCTCACGGCACCAGCGTGAACCCTGATTCTATTGGGAATTGATACGCTTTTTACTTTCATTCTCTGTAAAGTTGTCCTATATATGTAGCCATATAATGCTCATACTGACAAGGATTATAAGTAATACAGTCTGTATTGGCTAATTGTTTCACTGGTAATATATAGAATGCTATTTACCACAGTATACAGTAATGTACTCTAATGCAGTGTGTCAACCAACCTTTTTGTGCCTGTGGACTGGCAAATTTCCATACAATTTTGGTGGACCAGCAAATTCCCAAAAATTTGTCTGCAGATTCACAGTTTCATAAAATTTTTACGGATGGAAAAACTTTTGCTTGATGTTAAGGCAGCAGGTATATAAAAGTTTCTGCTTCTTGCAAAAATTAAGTTAAGCAGCTGTGGCTGAATGTCATCAAAAACTTAGAAAGGTGACGATTAAAATAATTTATTTCATCAGGTATAATGTGATTGAAGTACTGTTTCAGGATAAAAGCAAACGTTCTTGTTTCATCAAATTCTTTCAACTGCTTTTCTTAGCAAAGTTTTAGATGATGCTGATAACAGAGTTCATGGATTCTTGTACTAAGTGTATTACGCTGAAAATTTCCCGCGGACCAGCAAAAAACGTCTGTGTGACCAGCGCAGGTCCGCGGACCATGGGTTGGGGAACACTGCTCTAATGCATATGAAGTCTTCTGTATGTAAGATTTTTATATAGGTCCATATTTTTTAAACCCAAAACCTGGCCTTGGTTAATTTTGGCTTGATGAATAAATGAATGATGTTTGACTTCATACCCACAAACAGAAAAGATTAGAAAGAAAAGACTGAGTTTAACATAACAGCAAAAAGAAAGTTCTGTACAGCAGATGTGACTATTTCCCCAAATCGCAGACTTGGATACTTTCACTCTGAAGTATAGCAGTAATGTACATAGCATTGCATGTTTTGTACCTTTTGCTTATCAATGTATGTATCCAAAAACTATCGGTCTTAGTTGTGAATTTCGAAGCATGATTTATGATCAGGTCAACTGTAAATGCAAGTTAAATCAATTCTGAACTGTGGAAGTAAAATTGTTCACGGACTTGTGAACATCTATTCAGACGGTATGCTGGGTCTTACGCTGACGTGCTGAGTCTGCCGACCGAACGTTCAGAAATCGTTTTTACCGCCCCGTTGGATGCGACGTGGCCTTACTTCCAGCAATTGTGGATTAACTCATGCGTGGCGGGTTGGACGTAATTTTGTGAAGTGTATCCTGTGTACTTAATTTTGAATTCTGTGAAAACTGGTCTATCCTTGGACCTATCTTCATTATCTTGCTGATTTTGGTGACTTTCCTATTTTCCGGACAGCGGTGAAACTTCTGAAGTGTATAAGAATTCAAGTTGCTTTTCCTGAACCGCGCACAAACATGGGTTTTTCCGCGATCGACTATGAGGGAGAATTATTCTCCTGTTTCGCATTTCATGCTGCTCTCGTCATCCTGAAAGTTCTGCTAATGGTTCCACTGACTGCTAGACAGCGCTTCGCCAAAGCTGTGTTTTCCAACGCCGAGGATGCCAGGTTGCATCCGAAAGGGAAGGTCAGCCTCGTGGATCCCGACGTTGAACGTGTTCGTCGGGCACATCTAAACGATCTGGAGAATATACCCTTCTTTGTGCTCATCGGATGGTTTTACCTAATGACGAATCCTAGCCTGGTGATCGCCAAGAATATGTTCCGTCTGTTCACGGTTTGTCGGTACCTTCATACTTTCGTTTACGCGGTCGTCCCATTGCCTCAGCCGGCACGTGGCATTGCATTCTTCGGCGCTTTTCTTGTCATTGTGGTGATGACTGTTAGCGTGCTGCTCGCAGCTTTTTAAAAATATTGATGTTCGTACGTAGTTGCATTTGTGAATTGTCTACTACTTCAAATTTATGGATGTTGTGTTTTGAAGCATTCCTTCGGTCGGGTTAATTGGTGCATTTTTAGAAGCTTTCATGGACAATTTTCCGGAGAGGTACTTGTGAAACTTGAGGGCTTTGTTTAAATATGGTGATTATCGTTAACGTTCGGCCATCTACGAAACTTCCATGTGTTTATAGCTTTGTATTCTGCGGCAGGGTTGCTGAACAGGTTGAACTAAACGCGTTACGATGCGAGCAAATGTTTTTGTGGTTACGTCGGCTGATTGGATCGAAAATATTATTTTCTCGGGAACCGGAATTCGTTCGTTCTGTTCGTTCGATTTCGGGAATGAGGATTTTTCATCGCCATATTTGAACGAGTTTATGGCGCTCATATACAAATTATTTTGCCTTGTAAATTTAAAATTTGGCTGTAAATGTAAGACACCTATATCATGTTCAATTAATTCGGGAAAAGTTGTCGTTCTACTCATGCTGCAGTCACCAGCTTTATCTTTTCCCACTCTTCCAATGTAAGTCAAGGTTTAATTTTCATTTATTCGAACTGAACATACAAAAACCGTAAAATGCCATCAGGATCCCGATTTTTCGAGCCATTTCTCTTGAATGAGCGTCTTGAATTCGATTCAGAACTGGTATTCCTTTTTNACATGAATTATCAGAAAATAAACGTAAATTTGGATTGAACTGCAACGTTTTTGTGCTCCCGATAATGATCGTGTCATGCATCCATTGAAACAGTTTTTGTTAGTCAGTCAGTTATTGACTAATCGGATTTTATTTTTTCATATTCATTTTGTAAGTGAATTTTGAATTTTTTTTCTCACCCGAGGAGTTTTTATGGAAAGACAAGTGTTGCAAAATTTCCAATTGTCTTAATGTGAAAAATCAGTTGGCAACCGTTTTCAATTTACATTGAACTTTTAACGTTGTTTTCATAATCATCCAAGTGCAGCGAAAGCCACAAAATAGAAGCTAACATGCCAGAATATTGCTCGTCAAATTCAATTCGTAATCGTTTAAGTTTATTCCGAGAAATCGTCGTTTGAAAATGTACATGCTTTTATAATCCTGCATGCGTGTTAGTGTTCACTAAATTTTATTCAACATCCCAGTTATAATCGAAATCAAACCGGCGACTGTGAATCGGGCAAAAAAATTCATTCATATTTGAACTTGATTCGTTTATTGTAGGTATGAAGATGAGCCTGAAGAAGATGAAGCAGGCGAAGTTTCGCAGAAAGCTGAGAAAACGGATTGAAGGCACAGAGTCTCTATGAAAAGAAAACGAGGAAATTTTGATGTTCAAAAATGAAAATGAATATCTTGTTAAGTTCGGATTGCACGTTTTTGGAGTTTTTTTTTCTAATTTCCAACGTCTCAGTTGTAATTGTTCCCTTGGCGTTGCGTTTGTGAGAAGCTTTTTCTTGGTGATGGCGACGTGGGGAATTCGTCGACTTCCAGAAAGTGTTATTTTTAGTTTAAAAATTTATGTTGGAATGGCGAACTCGTTTTTGAAATTTTTTTTTTTTTCTTGCAACTTGCTTGATCATTGATTTATTCTGATTTTTCTTTTATGCACTTGCTTTTCATGGCTGCATTCCCTCTTGACAGATTTGCAGAAGTGTTTAAAATTGAGCCTTTCTCTGTCGAAAGAACACGCCGTGTTTCAAGAGGAAACTCTGTGATCATACTTAAGACGTTTCCCGCGGATTCAGACGTCTTTGGATTAAGATAACATCTGCCAACCTTGCACAACTGAAAGGAAGGAATAAGATTTGATTTTCTGTAAAACCCGTTAAGTTCTGAGGCTTCTCTGACGTTACCGCCGAATGACGCGGAAGATTCTTCCGCCGGAAAGCGCTCATGGGTGCATTTGAATTTGTGAAGATCGTGACAAGTTCTTCCGGACGAATGTTTTGAAGGATTAAGAATCGGACTGCTATGGAAATTGTGTCTCCGGTACTTATTTCTTTTTGATTTTTCTTTGTGTGATTTTCCGGAGGTATATTCAATTTAAAAATTGAACTCTCGCAATTTCTGGATACCGCTTCCAATGAAGTAATTTTTCTAAAGGTTTCTTCGAATGATGATTACATTTTTTATTCTGGGCTGTTGTCGTAAGATTATGAATTAAATGGAAGCTATTTTTTCCGCAGGAATGGAAAGCCTGAATCTTTCTGGTCATAGGGATAAAGTACTGTATTCACCTTCAGGTTTTCATTTTCTGCTGGATTTGACGAAATTCGAATGATGGTACTCCCTGATAAATTGCAGTACAGTACATTGGGGTGCTACATTACCGTGTAAGGTTCAGAATAGCTGAGTGTGGCATTGTAACAAGGTTTTCTAATATGATTTTAAGGGACTATCTGACATAATATACAACTTAGCCAATAAGTAGAAGTACACTACTGCCTATACTGTAATGAATGTCATCTCCTGTCTTCAGACCTTCATAATTTTGACTGCATCACACCTGACTTGAATCAATTATTTTAATTTGATGTTGATGCCCTTTTGGAGCCTCAATGCATTATTTATTGTTGAATTAAAACATGCATTAAATCCTTCAATTTTGAGATTCTTGCAAAAGACCCATTAAAAAAGTTATGTGAGCATTCATGAAATATTGTACTGTGATTATGGTGATAGGTAGTACCTGTGGTACACTATGTGCAGTTTAGAAGCACATAGTGACCTGAACTTATTGCCATGATTCATTGACCTGATGCTTTCCAATTGTAGTAACATTTTAGCCAACCGTTGTAATAATCAATGATCTCAGAAAAGTATTCCTGCTGTACCCTGGTAAGCATCAGAGACGCCTGAAGTTGAAATATTAAAGGCTGGGTTATTTTCTCTTTGCAAGTTCCGAAAGCCAATCAACTGTTGCTTAAAGTCGTGGTAAATTCGAGTTGTATGCTTGAAGCAATCTTGACAATGGTTCAGGTTGTAATCCTATAGAATGCGATTTTGAAGGAAAGGTACTTCATGTCTCTTTAAGATGTCGCTCCCGTCACAATCTTAATGCTCATTATTGCCTGCGCCGTCGGCGTACTCCCTCCTATTAGTTCAGAAACATATGTTAGGGCGGGCAATTTCAAGGGAATCCTGGAAGGTCCAGTGTCACGGTGTGGGCGGCACAGCGTACTCCCCCCAAAATCGTACTCCAGGAGTGCACCCTGCCTAGGCAGGATGCACTCCAGGAGTACACCCTACCTAGGCAGGGTGTACTCCAGTGTGCACTATGCCGTCCGGCGGGTCTATTCAAATCCGCGGAGTGAAGTTCCATGGTGAACACATGCAGTAGTTCTTTCAACGAAATTCAGAGGAGAGCCAATTCCATCTTGTTGCAACGAATCTTGTTCATGCTTCGGAGAAATGTCTTCTTCAGTCCCTGCCCCAACATTCTTATTTAAATTTATTTTTGATGAATTTTCGTATATGACAAAGCATTTTCAAGGTCTGAAACACTTTCTGGTCCAAAGTTCTACTGTACTTTTGCATTAATTATTAACTAACATAACCTGACCTTATAATTGGGGTAAAGAGGATTCATTTTTGAGAGCCACACATGGATGCTGCTGATAACATTCTGTGTGTTGTTCTTAGCAACATCTATGAGAGCATTGGTTTGGGCATGGCTCCCCCCAAGTGGGATAGCTCCAAGGCCTCTCCTGAAAATAGATTTCCGCAGAATTCATCATTNAGAAGAAACTCCGGATTCTCTAAACTTCTATACGCTTCCCTATCGGATTGCTACGGAGAGAAATCTGTCAGTTGCTGATTTTTGTTGTCGCCAAAGATGTGGTCTCAAGCTGATTTCTTACAGAGATTTGTTTCCATCACTCGGGACATCCCCGAACATTTTGTGGACAAGCGCTTTCGCCACACCTGCGAGGTCCGATTCGAGTGCGAAAAGGTTTCCTGGACTGCGTTCCAATTTTTTCAAAAATACGACTCCAGTTACGCCGATCACGGCACCGGTGAGAAACTTCATCTTATATCCTCATCTGTCGTGTTTCTGGCGTTGTGATTCAATTTTAACTTTGATCTTATTTTGTACAGTTGAAAGAACGTTTTGTCCGTCAGCGATCGTCTCTACGACGCGTCGAAGTCTGTCAAAATCTCTCCCCTTTGAAACTTGGGGAAACCATGGAGAACTGTACCTCTACAAAGAATGATCTCAGTCCCGGGTAAGTTTATTATTGATATTGTAAGTGTAACGACATTTCAAGTGTCACGTTGTGTTCGATTTTTGTTGGAAGAGATGAACCTACACTCAAAGGCAAAGAGAATATGAATCCTTCCGTAGCTGTAAAAGAGTGGGATGATTTCGAGGTGGGAGCCAGTCAAGAAGCTGAACTGGCCGAACAACTCGATCTTCTAGAAAGTGCCTTTGATGAGTCGTCTGCTCGCGTCGAATGCACGAGTACCAAAGAATGTAGTAATCTAGATGGACCGTCTCCCGTGATCGAACGAACTTTTTCCACTCAAATAAAGGTAGGCCATTTATTTTTCAATTCCTCATGAAAGTTTTTACAGAATTGATTTTGTGGCAGGACTTCTTCGATTGCACCGATTCGGAGCTCGAAGAAGGGTTGCTGTCTGTGGCTGAAAAAGCGGAAGAGGAAATTAAATCCAGTGCCAGCTTCGGTTTTAAAACCTTGGCCGGGAAAAGTTTAGGACCACTTTCTCAGGCTGCTGTCGAACAAGCTCAGAAGCTTTGGAACACTTGTAAGGAAGATGTCGTTACAGCTCCATCAGAGGAACCGGAATTGAAAACTGTTGGTTTTAAAACGGCGGCCGGAGAACCATTACCTTTTTCGCAAGCTGTCTTTGAAAAGTATGCGTCTGAGTTCGATTGCGACGAAGTCGGGGAAAATCTTCCCGTGGAAGTAAAAGCGTCCGTTCTTCCTTCATTGCCCGTGCCTTCACCGTCTTTCAATCT